AAACAGACTGCAAATAAACATTATTATATACCAAAAATTACATATATAAGTGAAACCACAAAAATAAATAAACACATTAATGTATATATGTATCTATCTATATACGTATATATACATGTGTGTGTGTGTGTGTGTCTGTGTGTGTGTGTGGTGTGCGTAAATGTATTTATATATATATCTATATTTATTTATTTATTTATTTATTTAAGTAAATATTTAAATATTTTGTATCGAATGTGAAAAAATGATAGTATAAGTATTATTCGAACAAGAAAAATCAGTTTCAGTTGACAAGTGTAGAAAGAAACGGAGAAGGAAAACTTTCAACCGCCGACGGCATAAATATTCAAATCGGCTTAATTTATAAACAATGCTAACTACACATGTCTGTAACATAGTTCAACAACTGTATAAATACATAACTTTACTTGGTAAACACGTAACTTTACTTGGTAAATTGGAAAATAACGCACAAGTGCACGCAAACAAACACTCACACGCACGCACCCGCGCTCACAAATGTATACGTACATGTACATACGAACATACATATATAAACATATATATCATTAATTAAAACAAAATTACAACAAGTTGTATAGTAAAGAATAAATGAAAACCCAAAAAATGACTAAGCCAAACAATAACAACTCTCAAAAAGATTAATAATGAAGAATGGTAACTGATGAAGGACCAATATTATTTTAAACTGAAGCATTTTTTAAATAAATAATCATCATCATCATCATCAATGCTTGAAAATCACCAAGCAAGAATGACATAACACAATTTCTATATTGGTGAGTTGAGTTAGCCCAGAAACGAATGGAACCCAAATGAACTAACATCATTGGCCCGTGACATCATTATCACATCACCAACAAAACAACATCAACACAACACCACTCGTCACCAAAACATCAACATCACCACATGTCACGCACAACCAACTAAATGCATTACAAAATAGTTACGCAACATAACATTAATTCGCCACCATGACAACAACAACAACCATCCCACACCATAACCATAATGTGCGCTCAGATCCTCATTTCGCGTGGATCAAAAAAATTTTTCTACAAGAATATCAGGATAAGAAGATGATTGAGTAAACGTTGCGTTACTCGATGTTCTTACTGGAAAAGTTAGCAATTTAATAAAATCGAATTGGGCAGTGGAAGCGGGCAATGCAGGCGGACAATGGAAGAGAGCAGGTAAGTTAAGTTAAGCAGGTAAGGCAGAACTCACGAAGTATACTTCACTTAAATATATTTCCGCCCAAACTCATTTATCCTTCAAACATCTTTCCAAAAGGAACGGACGGGCTTTCAAATGATGACGACATGATGGTGATGAATTAAGAGTAACAATAAAATAATAAGCAGATGGTGCTACCCGTACGGAAAGAAAATCATATAATAAGCAACTAAAAATAAACAAATGGAAATAATTAAATAACAAAAAGTAACAAACAGCAGAGAGTAGAATATCATACAAATCTAAAATTCTGAATATTTTTTCTTTCTCTTAATTTTTATTTTTTTCATTCTTCAACTTTCCAAACTTTAAAAAAAAAGAACATTTCACGAAAGAAGGAAATAAAAATTCAAGTAATTGACATTATGATCCGACACAGCAAACTCACCTCTTATAACATAAATAAACAAATAAACAAACAAACAAACAAACTAATAAACAAATGAACAAAACAGGATCACATAATGAAAGAAACAAGACAAAATGAAATGAAATAACAATAATAATTTGCAGTAATATTCTTCAACAACCAACCTGCAAGCGACAAAACAATGTTCACTTTAAATCAAAGGTCTCTCTCTTATCAAAAATGGGTATAATTCAAAAATGTTATGAAGATGATTGGTATATGATTGATTATATATGTACAATTTTTAAGATTAAAGTTTTCAAAAAAATCAAAAAACAAAATAAATGAGTTACTCAACTTCACAAACTGATCATGACACCAGATTAAATATGTTCACGCAAAGTAACAACAGTGTTTCTTCTATAAAATCAAATTCCTGATCCAATAAATTAAAGTGCAATATACATGTTCATTCTGATAGGCTCAACAATTTTTACAGAAACAATAATCTGGATTGGATACTTTGAAAAGAATTTTTTCATGAAGTTCTAGTTAGAAAATGAGACAATTCAGTGGAAGGTGACCACATATATTGATGACAGCTAAAATTAATTGCTTGTCTAACAGGGCAACCAACTGAATATAAACATGTGGCAGTTAGGAAGGCCCATTAATTTCAGAGGCAAAATTCTGAAGTGATGTTGTCGACGACAGTGATGAAGTTACAGAGGCAGATGTGGATAGGATTCGTTTCTTGTTGACCAAATCGTGCTGTTGATCCTGAGGTTCAATTTTCATCTGCTCCACATCATTCAACACCTGATTGTCAGAATTCATTGTCAAGTTAACAGCTCCCTTCTTGTTACTAATGTTGTTGTGATCAATCATGTTATTGTTGTTGCCATCAATGTTGTTATTGTTGTTAATGCTGCTGTTGTTGTTGAAATCTGTGACCTCAACCAAATTGTTGTTGATTGTTGTGTAATTTATGATGCCAGCATTCATGGCCAGGTAATCATTGATATTTTTATGGAAATTGTTGTTGCTGTGGTTGTCAGTTGTCAGGGAGTAAGTGTTCATACTTGTGGCTGCTGTTGTGAAATCGAATCCATCATTGTCATTGGTGTTGTTCGTATTGTTGTTGTTGTTGTTGTTGCCAGGACCACTGACATTCATGTAACCATTATTGCTTATATTATTACTGTTGTCATTAAATCCACTTTTAATTCCTGAACTTCCAGCTACTTCATTAATAGAGACATTGTTTCCTATGGTGTTGTTTGCATTTAAAGAATTATTATTATTACTGTTGTTTATGAAATTGTTATTGTTACTGTTGTTGTTGTTGATAGCAGTGAGAGCGACATTGACGTTGTTAGCAATGCTTGCATGCCTTTTCTGGATATGTTTGCGAAGTTCAATGGGCAGGAGAAATGATTCGTTGCACTCTGAGCACCGATGTTTCTTCGAGTCGATCCAATGATTTCTCAGCTTGTGGATGCGCATTGCACCAGCCGAGTAGAAACTGTGCTCACATAAGTCACATCTGTTATGTAATTGCATGGAAAAAAAACTAAAATTCATAGAATGAATGAAGTAAATTGAACCTTGGACCGTCAAATGCACGAGTATTTTGTAACAAATACTTAGCGTAAAACTGCTCTATACTTACTGCTTGTTAGATTGAAAAGAATGAATAAATAACAATCAATAACTTGTACATTGAATGAAACATACATCTCATCCTCATCCGCCTATCTAGCAGCCTACTTGCTAAAACTTATTGATTTTGTATAACTTAACCAACTTCACATTTGTGCACAATTACGTGATGTACACAAGATAAATTTACTAGAGAATTTATTTTAAAATTATCTAAGCATTTTAAAATTATTGAGCAATTAACACATTGCTATATTCTAATGAATCCAATTCTGCAGAATAACAAGCCTTGTTATTTATTTTTGAACTGATTCAAACTGTAGAATTTGATAAGTAAATTGAGGTTTATCCACTCAAAAGATGCCTTTCAAACGGAAGCTCACCATCCATCAGGCACCACAGTACGCAATGACCAAATAACCATGTTAACACATGAGCCAGCTGTACAAACAAAGTCTGGTGACTAAGAGTTGAGACCGAAAATTTCATCATTCCTATGCCATTCATGTGCCAGGTGGTTAAATACAGAAATTCATTTTTAAAAAGAGCACATTATGAAAAGGTTCGTGATTATTAATATACAAATTTATTACAAAAATATGTTTTTCAATCATTAAAATAACTTCATCTATTAAACTATAATTTCTTCTGATAAATTTATTAAACTTTACCAGCTTAGATAACATCTGCCGGTAGACACTCACACAAATTATTTATAAATAATAGTTGTTGGATATTTCTTAAATGAAAATAGCCAACTTGTAGACATGGAGTCTTGTGTGCATGGCGTTCACATGATTCTTCAAGTAGCACTTCGTAGATAGGAATATGCCACAAAACATGCACTGAAACTTCTTCACTCTGTTCTGACCTTTCTGTTGCTGCTGCTGCTGTGAGGTCGCATTCAGGAGTTTGGCATCCATCTTGCTGTCCTCCATTTGATGGTTCCCATTGTTTTCCTTCTGTTCTCATTTTTAATGAACTAATCAAGCAAGTTCAAATACATTGGCTCAAAACAGTCTGAACAAACCGAGGAAAAAATTATTAAAATGTATATAAATCAATTCCATCTTTTAATAATAGAGATACTTTTGAATAGAGAAAAAGTCAAATGTAAATATTAATTTGCACAAACTTTTATTGTGGATGGGGAGTGTTTTAATGCTACCATTGCAACAGCTCCAGGAGATTTGACCTTGAATTTTTGTCCCTGTGTGTCAAGGTCACCAGTAGCAACCTCATAACTGGGAAGTCGATGTGCCAGAGTTTGTATGTCTGGAAGTTTTATGGGAGCCTACGTGGTGATAACATGAGAAGTCACTTGAAAAACATGAATGATCTTGATGTTTGTTAGGAATGAAATGATGATGATGATGGTGATGAGTGTAGTGATGATGTTGATAAATATTGATTATGATTATTCAAATTATAATCAGTACAACAGCAGCAATAATCATCATCATTAGAATGATTATTATGTAAAAAATGAATGTGATGATGTAGATGATTATTATGTTAATCAACTAAGATTAAGATGGCAATGATTCCATCCAGTGATAACAATAATTACATAAAAATTACAATAATGATGACACAAAAGCCAGTTTGGAACATAGTTAAACTGTAATTGATCATACATATTCATTGCATGATGTTTGGTTAGTTGTTCAATACAAAGCATGATACTGCAGTATATAAAATATTGTTGTAATACTTGCTCAATACAAAGCATGATACTATAATATATAAAATATTGTTGTAATACTCTAACGCTCGTTACTACTGACACCGATGTTATAACTTCAATGATCTCTATATTTCCAACACCAGTGTTGTAGCTTCCAACAATCGTCATTTGTTCGTTATCACATAGGTTCAAGATTTTCAACAGATGAACACAACTGCTTCAAACGAAAACTTTGTTGAATGTTTATTTGAATGCCAACAGTGATAGAAACATCAAACTAATCCAAGTAACAACATAGATCACCCATAAATGAGCTTATTTTTTGAAAAGATTTTTTTGAAAAAAAGCTGTGGATATGCAGCCTTTTCCTATTTTTTACATGAAAAATTAATTTTAACCAAAAATAAAACAAACAAACAAACATCAATCTGGTTGTTGTAGTCAAGAGCTTGTTGCTGTTGTTGTTGGTGGTGATCGTTAGATGCATTCTTAATGTTGGCCAGCGTCCTTGCAACAGTGTCTACCCTCTTCTTGCATCTCGTGCCCCCGCCGGCAGTTCTCGCATTCTTTGAAATCTTTCCGACATTGTTGTTACTGCTGTTGTTGGTGCCGGTCGTCATCACATTGTTGTTGTTGTTGGTGTCCCCTGGTGATATGATCTGGTTGATGATAAATGGATTAACATTAGATGCCAACATGTTTGTGGGATTGTTGTTGCCGTTGTTAGCTGCATTGTTGCCGTTGTTGTTTGTATCCGAGACGGACAGCACAGCTAATGGTCTGGAGGTGAAGGCATCAACAGAAAAGAAGTTCTGATTTTTGAGAGATATGTTCTGCTGCAGGGATAAATTTCTTAACGAATCATTAGTTACTTGACTGAGTGAATTGTTGCTACTGTTGTTGGCATTGTTGTTGCTGTGTATGACGCCGATGTTGTTGAGTGCCAGTGCAGCATTCACTAGATTTAATTTGAGAGTGATGTCATTGAGATGTGGAGAGGCAGGCGATTTTATGCAGTCCTCATTCAGTAGGCACGTAAGCACCTTGTCACCATCAGAACTGTTTAAATAACATGAGAGTAGTCAAATAAACATCAATATCAAACTACATATAAATAAAATATACCCAACTTTAAAATTTAAATAAAAACAAAAAGTTAAAAAATACAATTTATTTAACAAAAAAACTGCTACAAACAAACCGGATGTGAAGACTTCCTGTAATTTCAAGTGTATGGTCAAATTTTATTGTGACCTCGCACAATGCCCTGATCGCTTTGACTAGTACAACATTCAATGTGGGGCATGATATTTTATCAGTCATACTTCTCAGTGTCAATATTATTTATTAGTTGAATTAAACCATTAGCATTAATTTATACTTTGTGATATATATAGTAAATTGTTGTTAACTGTCATTAAATACAAAAACTGCATTAATAAGTTCTATCAGCATTATACAAGGAGCAACTTCTGTAGGTGTTAAATATGTATTCATTAGCAACAAATTATTCATCTTTTCAATATTCAATTTAAATAATTTGGATTTAATAATGAGTATTTAATAATTAATAAACAACATTATTAATAAATAAATACATAGTTAATTTTTAATACAATGCAAACATTTTATTGACTTTCATTATGAATATTTCCCAATGACAACATAAGCAAATTAATTAATAGTCAACAATCTGGCAAATGGCAGATACAAAATTTGTTTTACTTACTCTTACTATGTTTTATTTACACACCTCATATTATTTGCACACCCATTATAATAATTATTAAAATTTAAAGTTATTGGTACATATATATATTTATATAATAATTATTTATTACACATCATATAAATAATGTCTAATATTCAAATCAAATTCAACTTTTTATTTTATTCTATTTTATAATATATATTAAATTAATTCACTTCTAAATTCACTCCATTTGCAATTCTTTTGAAATTGAAATTATTAAAAGTATGAACATAAAACTATCAAAAATTAACTTTGAAGAAAAAACTGAATTAACTCCCAAAATCACGAACAATGAACAAACTGTTTAAATAAATGAATTTTACATCTGCAAAAGGCTTGTTGTACATGGTCCTGTATAACTATTGACTTAATAATCGATGGGTGTTGTTGTTGTATTTTGTATTAAATTAAAGTACAAAACAAATAACGAAATATGGCCAGTGTACTTGTATGGTGTATTTGTGTATGGTGTACCCAAGTATGGTGTACTCAAGTATGGTGTACTCACGTACAAGTATGTGTAGATGTGCTTCTCTACTCTATCTATCTATCTATCATACCATGTACTGCACAACGTAAGCAGTCGGCTGTGAAAAAAAATTCGATTATTTTTTAATTTTACAATTAATTGGACAACTTCAGACTAATGGCTTTATCGATGTAAAGACGAAAAGATTAACGAATGTTCGGAAATATTAAAAATTAAGGTCACCCGAATTTTAGAAAAGAAATTAAATTAAAAAAATTAGAAATCTATCCACCATACCTTCACGTACAATAGGACGATGACGTTCAGGCTATAAATATCCTTCAACAGTTTGTTGTACAGCTGCACGTAAACATTGAACTATAAAATTTCATTATTTTCTCACTTTTATTTTATTATTCTCACTTTGAACGGTAGAGCAACTTAATTAATAGTATTTTTTTCGTATTTTCATTTAAATATAGATAACAAAATTATTAATTTTATAAATAAAAAAAATTAAACCAGGACAGCTCGTTTGGCCGCTAATAAGTTCAGTCAGGTCGCCATGAGTGCCAGAAAAGCTGTCAACTTCAGGCAAGTTGGAAGGAAAATAGTGGGGGCGGCCAGGACGTACAAGTATTTATTGTTATTCATTCAGTGGAAAATTACTTAAAATTCGTTTTTCATTTATTCACTTATTTTAACATATTTTTCCGATGATACTAAAACTAACTGTTTTCAAAAAATATTTTTATTTTTGTGGACATTTGCTTGGCCATGCCTCTGCGGTCTGCCTATGCCTGCGTTCGTGCGTGCCTGACTGGTCAAATGAAAATGCAATGATAACTTAATCCATGGATACCGTAAGAATGTAACATTTGTGTCATATGTGAGACAGATTGGTTGACATCTGCATTCACATTATTATTTGCTTACTAGAAAGAAAGTAATCTGTAATGTAGTAATAATCATTACTAAATAATGTAATCATAATCGTAAAGTAATGGTAATCTAATGTGTCCGCAGTCTTATACATTACATACAAATAAGAAAAAGGACACAGCAGGCCAACTTAAATTTTAATGTAGTCTCAGCTGAATGTTTAGTCAATCTTTGTTGTTTAGTGTTTAGTTTAGAGACAGTACACATTGCTTCGTGTTTAATAATAATTTGCTTTGACTTTTAAATGAAAGTTTTACTTCAATAAATTTGACAATCCTCTTCATTTTTTAGTTTTTCAAAAAAATAATGGCATTTTTTTGCTTTTAAAAGGAGTATTAGGTTTTATTTAATTTAAGTAATCAATAATACTGGTAATCAGCTAATCAGTAACATCCTAAAAAAACTTGAATAACCAAAACTAAATTAAATATGTATATAATATATTATATGTATCACAGTAGTTTAATGTTTTTCAAGTTTCAAGTAAATTCTCATAATAATTCAAATTTAAGCAAAAAATTGAAATGTTTTTAACTTTTCAAATAATTTTTCACAGGGAGCATGCTGTTGAGTTAAATAATCCAATTCCGTCAGAACCACTGATTTTTCTGAAACCTACTAGTTCTTACATTGAACAAGGTCAATCCATTATTGTAAGATACATTTATAGTATTTATTTTTAATAAAGAAATTTTTAACTATATTTTTTGTATTTTTTTGATGGTATTCACATTTTGATATTGCTGCTCTTATTATCTTTCTCTAACATTTATATTAAAAAATATTTAAAGAAAGGTGATGTTATGATTGATATGCAGGTGCTGATTCATTTTTTGATGAATAAATGTTTTTATTTTTTTTTAATGTTTTGAACTTGTTTAGATTGAATAAAAAAAATAAATTCACCTAAATGAATTTACAAAGTTACAAATGAATAGCCAAAATTATAATCAGAAGGTGTTAAATATTTTTCAGAACTCAGGATTTAATTCATAGTCAAACCAAAACTTTACTGGTTTTTGTTAATAATAAGACGAAAATGCATAATTTTAATTTTAGGTATGTTTTGAGCTTATTATTTTATGGTCACATAGATGATTTTGTATCTAATTGGTACAACATAATTCTTTGAATACTTTCAGATACCAAAAGATACACTAGAATTGCATCATGAGGTGGAGCTTGGTGTGGTTATTGACAAACCAGGTAAAAATATACCAGAAGCTTCAGCTGCTGGTCACATAGGTGGCTATGTACTTGCTCTAGATATGACAAACAGAACAGAGCAATCAAAAGCCAAGAAAGCTGGTCATTCATGGTGTATTGCAAAGGGGTTTGATACTGCTTGCCCTGTCAGCAGATTCATTTATAAAGATGAAATCAAAGATTTTCAAAACGTTAGTCTTAAGCTGAAAGTTAATGGAATACTGAAGCAAGATGGAAACACAAAGGACATGATATTTTCCATTCCGTTTTTGATATCTTGGATTAGTTGTAGAATGTCTTTAGAACATGGAGATTTAATACTGACTGGAACCCCTCCTGGTGTTGGACCTGTTTCAGCAGGGGATACAATTGAGTGCTCTCTAAATGATCTCATATGCATGTCGTTTGACGTTAAGTCTGAAAATATGGTGTAAAATTTTGGCACATAGAAAAATTTAGCAAATTGGATTTTTGTTATTCAACTATAAAAACCAACAAAATGATAAAGTGATGAAAGTCACTGAGTTAGCTCAAGCGGTAGAGTGGTTATTACTTGATAACATTGCTCGAATACCGTCTGTCCGAAACTTAAAGGCTAGTGACTGCGCGGGTATACATAATGTGTATGTGCGTCGTGTGGTGTGGAGAGTGTTACACCTTTTGTGGTCAGGAAGTTAAGATAACAATTTTGTATAGAATAACATGTTAGTTCTGCGTTTGACAGAGTTTCTTTATAAAGAATGAAAGAAGGCTAGACCGTTTTGTGTGTGAGTGCATTCGTGCATCTTACCTTTCCAGTGGCGTAGGAGTTTTTTTAATTTAATAAACACTTAGCTAGCGCGGTGACCCAAGCATCGAAAGCTCCTCTTCGCAATGCTGGGCTACTTTGAATGCAAAATATCCTCCTCACGACGATATTTGAAATGCTAAAACAATGTTAAAATTTTCTAAGAAAATCTGCATGATGGACGCAATCGAACGCTGAATTGAAGTCTAGTAGTAATGCAAGAATTGAAATTTTATGGCCATCAATCAAAGCAAGCATTTGGATGCCTAATCCATGCGGATTCAGTTGAGTGAAATCTCTTGAAACCTGACTGACATTTTAGCAACAGTTGATGATTATTTAAATGCTGTATAAGTAGTTTTTGAACTATTTGTTCCATAAATTTACACAGCGACTGGATTCATCCTATCAAGAAAATGTCTTTTCAGCGTCGGTGCAAAAGATTGCAAATTTTAGAGACAATGCAACTCCAAACATTAAACATAAATATGTTGAAAACATTCAAATATTGTAAACATAAATAAAAAATAAATTGACATAATTACGAAAAATTTAACAATTTATGTTTGTTAACAATCAACCAAACATGTCAAGTTTTGTATAACCGTATACTTTTAAAATACCATATATGTGATAGTATAACACGTAGATTTTCATCAGCTGAACACTGGAAAAATGGAAAAAAAATTGAACTGAGCCGGACAAAAGTTCGTTTCACGAGAACAAAAAATGCTGGCTTTAAAATTGTAACTATATATGTATACATATATAATGAACAGTTCTATATAATCAATTCTTAAAATGAAACGCCTCATCATTTTACTTGGCAATAAAATATTCTAAAAATGCTACTAAAGATGGAGACGTTTCAGTGCTATGCTTTGTAATTCATTTTAATCTGCTTACATCTAGGTTCATTGAATAAGATGGAAGAACATTACGGTATTGCAATAACTAACAAGTTTGCTTTGTTTGATGGGGACGAAGATTCCGATCCGTTGGATATTATTAAATTAAAACAAGATGAAGCTGAAAAACTAAAGTTGCAATCACAAGGAACCAAAAAAGCGAAATCACTTGATACTAAAAATAAAAGTGGCAAAAATCAAAATTCAAAAGCTGTCGGTGTGGGCTTAGAAACAGTAAGAAGATCAGACGATTCAAAAAAGACAAGTTTGTGAATTTTTTTAAAATGTGTCTATGAGTCATAAATTGTTATAAAGGTCAAGTGCAAGCAGCAGGTTCTTGCACTTGCTTCAGTTTCCCATGGAACATGATAGAATTTGGTAGTTGAACAGAATTAACGAACCAGACCAAAAAACTTCTGCAGGAATTTTGTTCATGTTCAATGACTGAGCATTAGAATATGTTGACTTATTAATATTTTTTAATATTTGATGTGTTTAATTAATTCAATTAAAAATTAAAATAATTATTTCTATTTAAAAATGTCTCTTGTTTTATTGACTTATTAGTTCCATAGGATTAATGCGAAATGAAATGTGCATAACATAAGAGAGAAAAATTTAATGAGTGCAGTTGTAAAACCCACTAGCCTAAATCTCCAAAAATTGGTTAATTATTAAATGAAAGCATAGGGCTCGTCAGTTCGTGATTTATAATTTATAAAATTAAGCTGAAAATATAGTGATATTTCTTAACAATTGCATGCATGAGCTTAGTTTTATTTCCAGTTTTTTTTTAATTTCAAAGTTTTATTTGTTAGTAGTATGTTAGGTTCATGTGATCTTATAAAAATGTTAATATCAGAATAGTGTTGTTGTTGGTAAGTAGAAAGTACAAACTACAAGTGATTGGTGTTCAACCAAGTGTTATGAAAATGCAACATAGTTAAACAGTGAAACCAAAAACAAATGTTTGAAAAGACTTCGTAAGGTTTATTATATATGGATATGGATGTAATGAAATGTATGTTAATATATATATATATATATATTTATATATATATATATATGTGTGCATATATGTGTAACATATATATATACATATATATGTTTAAGAAATATGGCTGTGTTTTCAGCTTTTGTTCCCAACTCATTTAATGGCTTTAGTGACATTGTCAGTCCATGATTGTTATTTATGAAATTCAACTGAAAATGTAGTGATATTTCTCAACAGTTGTATCTACAACAGTCTTAATCCTAATTAGAATTAGGCTCAGAACTGTCAGCTTATACTTTTTTTTAATGTATTTCTTACATTTAGTTCTGTGCTTTAACAAAATAAAAACTATTTTTTATTTGTATCTTGATTAATAAAAATATTCAAATATCAAATGATGTTTAATTATATTTAATTATTTAATCAATTTAGAAAAAAATGTCAAACATTTATGTGGTTATTCAGGCTGAGATTTTGATGTCTTGAATTTTATATTGAGGGTCTGCTTTATCATATGATAAAAGTTACACTCCAAGTGTAAGATTGTTTGGCATTGATATTTCTGCACATAATCACTACAGATTCACATAAATTTGTTTTTAAAATCTTTAATAAAATCAAGTTTTTGTATAACTTTGAATTTATATACGTAAAATATTTCATTATTTTTTAAATGAAGGTGGCAGTAGCAGAAAAGAAAACCTTCCCAATGGCAAAATTACAACTTCTATCATTAGGCCTAAGTCTGCAGATATAAGGTGAAGCAATTAGTAATTTTATTTTTCATGGTTCAAAATTATATATATATATATATATATATTTGCTAAGAAATTTCATTGTATTTTCAGCTTCAATCAGTTTCTGGTTTTATTTTTCAAAATAAAATTGAACCAAAAACTGGTCAATGCTGAAAATGCATATATATATATAGTACACATTACTGTATGAATTCTACCAAATTGTTGGCATTAATTAATTTAAAGTTTGTTGATTAATGCCAAAAATTCGGTAAAATTCATACAATACTGTATAAAATATTGTCTCCTTCCAACATATATATGTATATATATATATATTATAGTTATTATTATTATTATTATTATCAGGACATTTATACAGCGCCAATTAAATTATTATCTCAAAGGCGCCATCATAAATAATGCAATAAATTCATGAATGACCGCATCTATAAAATCTAGAAATAAATTCAATAAATAATAAACATAAATTGTTTGTTACAACAAAAACAGGTAAGTTTTCAATAATTTCTTAAACATAATTAAATTTAATTCATGATTTCTTAAATAAAAAGGAAGGCTATTCCACACAGCTGGTCCACAAACTGAAAAATTTCTTGTTCCAATCTTCAAACGGGTAGGCAGAACCATCATGTAATTCAATTCATCACACCGAAGTCGAATTGTTCGTGTAGAAACCACTCGTGGCAAACATTTGTCAACGAAGTATTTTGGTGCGCATCCATTCAAACATCTGAACATGATCATAGATATTTTAAAAATCACCCTTTTTTCAATCTTCAACCAGTGCAATTCTTTAAATATAGGAGTTACGTGATCAAACTTTGCCCCACCAACCACGACTTTTGCTGCACGCTTATGAATAGACTGAATCATAGCAATTGACTTCTCCGGCAATCCATAATACAAACTATTACAGTAATCGAGTCTCGAGTGAATGAATGCATGAACCAAACATTCAGCCGTTTTTTTATCTATTGATCTTCTTATCAAATTCAATTTTCGTAATTGAACAGTACATACTCTGGATAAAAATTTTATATGTTCAACCATTGTCAATCTGGAATCTAATATCCAACCTAGACTAGTTGCTGTGGAACAAAACTGTATATTCAAATCGTCAATCAAAACAGAATCTATACTCATCTTAGAAAGCTGCTGCCATGTACCAACTGGCAACAGTTGAGTCTTGCTCTGATTTAGCCTCAATCGATTTGTTGCCATCCAGTCATTAATATCCGATAAACACTGGACAAAGTTATCAACTATAGATTGGAATCTTTCTGGGGGTCCATTTACTGTTATCTGAATATCGTCTGCAAAAGCGTGACCCATAAATCCATGAAAATCCAGTATATTAAAAATCTCGGCCGTATATAACAAAAATAATATTGGTCCTAACACCGAGCCCTGTGGCACACCAGTTGAAACTAAATGAATTGCCGATAAATCATCCATGAATAACACCTGTTGTGTTCGCTGTAACAAATAAGACCGAAACCATAATTCCACTGTACCTGATAAACCAAAACAGATCGCCAGTCGTCTTAAGAGGATATCGTGATCAACGCAGTCAAAAGCTGCGCTCATATCTAAAAATACCAGCATGGAGGAATTTCCAACATCGATGTTTTCCAACAAAACCAATAAAACCTGCAACAAAGCCGTTTCCGTTGAATGATGTTGTCTATATCCTGGCTGAAACACAGGCAATTAATAGTTCCGGCGTATGTGCGTCAACAGCTCCTTGGCAACAATTCTCTCAATCACTTTTGAAATAAACGAAAGATTGGACACTGGTCTATAGTTGTTTAAATCATTAATGTCCATGCCTGGTCTTTTTAACAGCGGTGTAACAATCGCATGTTTAAGTCTGTTTGGAAAGTTGCCTTGTTTGAAACAAAGGTTAATAAAACTGGTTAAAAACCTAGTAAACAAATTTATATGTTTCTGAAAAATGTGCGTAGGCAAAATATCCAACGAACATGATTTTGATGGAGAACTTAGAACTATTCTTTTAACATCATCTTCAGTGCATACTGGAAAAGTAGAGAACACATTTTCAACTTTGAACTCTGACTGATTGAAATTTGGATAATCCGCAGTCTTCATCAATTCTCGAACTTTATCTATTTTATTATTGAAAAACGTTAAAAATTTTTGAGCTGTATGGTCAGTGGCATCTTTTAAACTGCTACTACCAATTTCCTTACACAGCAATTTATTAATAATACTCCAAATTTTTTTTGGATTATTTTGATTTTCCTTAACGAGCTCCTTCCAATATAGATTTTTCTTTTGAGTGTATATGAAACTTTTTGCTTTCATGGCCATTACCCAGTTTTTTTTATCTTCTTCCTTCAACGTTTTTCTATATCGTTTTTCCATTTTTCTACAATAAGCCTTGACCGTCTACATTCAGAATCAAACCAAGGTGCCATCGGATCATCTCTAACCTCAACCATACGATAAGGTGCAACTATTTCAGTGATTTTCGTCATTTCGCTTTCAAATAAATTCCATAAATCATCAGTATTTCCAACCTGGCATAATCTATTTAAAGGAGAATCAAGAACCAAAGAAATAAAACGATCGTGATTCATGTTTTTCCAAGATCGAACTATCCTTTTTTTTTCATTCTTTTAACTTGATCAATTGATAAACATGCCTGAACCAAACCATGATCAGAGAAAACTCCCGGAGGCAGAACTCTAATATCGAAAACTGGAAAAGACATAGAAGTGATAATCAGGTCTAACACACCTCCTATTTCGTGCGTTGGTTCATTTATTCTATTAACAAGATTAAAATTACCAAAATCTCACATGACACACTGTGAGGATCCATGTGTTTCTCTACATGCACACTAAAATCACCAGCTAAGACAACATTGTTACTAAGCAAGGATATTATCTCTAAAACAGCAACCAGTTCCTGAAAGAATAAAGATGAAATTAAAGCCGATCCTGGTCTATAAACAGCCAATAAAACAATATGAGTTCCATTTATTTTTAATTTAATGGCTAATGCCTCAAAAGTCTTTAACACAGGTAATCTGATGAGTTTAAAATTAAAACATTTTTTAAAATAAATTATTAATCCACCATGAAATGGATCATGAGGTCTGACAAAATTCACAAAATTATAACCTGGTGGCATTGCCCGCCTAACAGCAATTTCATTACTAGACCCATGCCATGCTTCAGTCAAAACTAAGATATCCAAACCATCGCAAATTACCTCATACACTTTATCATATTTCGACAAAATTGACCTAATATTCAAAAGCTCTAGTCCTATTTTAACATTGTTAAGCATTTTACAACCATTGTTTTTCTTATGACTTTTACCTTTACCTTTTATGACTTTTTGAAACTCACGATCCGCCACTTTCCCACAGGTCCTCTGACCCTGTATAAAAAACCTCCCGTACATGCAGCTTCTCTTGACTTTGCATTAGCAATCAAACTTTTCAATTTACTCCTCTGTTCAGCCGTCAGATCATTGGCAATCCATACCTTACTAAGTTCTTCAGACATTTGCTTAAGTTTGTATGAACTCTTCATCACCAACTCTTTAGCTGAAATGTTATCCATCACTATCAAAATTGGCCTATTTGTTGATTCAACCCTTTTACCCAGTCTTATTATTCTTTTCATATCAGAATCTTTGATATCACTCGACAGTTTCTTGATTATTTCCTTGACTCGATCTCTGTCATTATCTCCTTCAGTTACATTAAACATCATAATGTTTTTTTCTCTCTCTTTTATCTCCTGTGCCTCATCTAATGTTTTTTGTACTGTTTTTACTTCAACATTAATGCTTTGCATACCTTTTTTAACCTCCTGGCCAACAACACTTGCCCATGTTTTTTGCAATTCACTTTTAAAATGATCAATTTCAACACTTAACTTGGAACCTGGTTCATCAAGCTTTTCTAATTTTGAATCATTATCTTTAATCATATTTTTGATTATGTCCAGTTCATGTTTTAACGAAATATTCGCAGCATTAATTTGATCCACCTTCAACTTGATTTCATTGTTATTATCATTTACTGTCTTTGTCAATAATCTAATGTTGGATACCGTCTTCAAACAAATATCACAGTACCATTTGAAATTCAACAAAGTACGTGTTACCTCAACAACCTCATCATTTACTCCAACACATTTTGCATGAAAAATATTTTCACATTGAAAACATTGCACACATTGCACACCGTCTTTAGTAACTTTTGCGCACTTTGTACATTTACTCGCCATTGTAAAATTCCAGATAACAAAACAACCTTTGGAATCGTACAAACTCACAACAGAAAATAACAAACGTATATATTACCAATACAGTTTAAACCATTTAATTAATTTTCGAAATATTTAATTAATTTTAATGTTAATCCTAAAAATAAAAATATATTAATACTTCTCCTAATTTTAACTATAAATTAATACCAAAATTAACAATATAACATCGAACAAAATGCAGCCAAACCGTTCAAAATTCAAAAATGTATGTAAAAAATGTAAAAAAAATGTAGTTATTATATGATTCAATGTTAGGGCAAGATTACCATTGCCCTGTCATAAAATATCAATCAATTTTCGTTTTGCGTCCAAAGACCCAGTTCCCCAGAGGTAGGACGTTGTTTTTTTGCCATCAACTTTTTGTGCCAAATTAGATGATCAGTTGTATCCATTTAATTTAAATTTAGAGCTTTCATGTCTTGTTCCATTGTTTGCGACCAGGACTTCTTTGGACGGCCTTGGGACGTGTGCCAGGTACTTCAACATCTGCAAGAGAAGTTGTGGCACTGTTTCCACTTCGTTTGACATGACCAAACCACCATTTTCATGTCCGTTCATTGAAGTTGTTGTTCCAGTTTGGTTGTCATTGGCCATGTTTCTGCACCATATAACAACACCGGACATATCACAGATTTATAAAGTCTTGATCGTAGTGGTAGTGGGATGTCACGCCGCATCAATATAGAGGCAAGGAGATGCCATTTATTCCAGGCTGCACGTATGCATGCTCGAACGGCAGCTTCACCTGTTCCAGTACAATCCAGAACATCCCCTAGATATTGAAACGATGTGACTTTCTCTACCTTAATTGCTTCAAAAACATTGTTATTTTGAATTTGTTGTGGATAGATGCAAGCAGGACCAACAAAATTGGACACTTTAGATAAAGTACCAATTATTTTGGTAAAATATAATGTCATAAAATATGAGTTATGTTATGTTACACGTGGAGTTTTCTTTGTCTGTTCTGGCACTTCTGTACATTACACCGTCACTTTTCACCCTCTGCTGCACACTCATCTGCTGTCTGAACAAAAAGCAAAATAAACTAGCAGACAGTCCCTTTAGTACTTTCCTACTTACAAAACTTAAATCTACTGTATATAATCAATATGTGCTGTGTTATAAAACATGCATTACAATATTTATTAGACTTGTTATAAATTCAATATTGCTATAACAATGTACCATAAGAAGCTCAAAATCTAACTAGGGGTTTTAGCATTGCGTGAGAAACTAAGCTTTGTATTAGTTGAATAATGAAGAAAACGCTGTTTTTTATGTTTTTATGAATAACTATGTGTGTGTGTGCGTGTGTGTGTGTGTACAGTCGGACCTACGTAAAATGAACTTAAAGGTTCCAGGAAAAAAATTTGTTATTTAGAAATTTTGTAATATAGAATTTTATCAGGAAAAAATTTTATATTGCTTGTAACGCTTATATATTTATTAAAAACAACCTCCTAATCATTTATTTTTATAACAAAAAGTAATAATATATAGTATAATTGCAATAAATATGAAGAATAACATAATATCGTATATATGCACTTTATATGCATGCATAATACTTAAGTCAGTAAGGTAAAAATGTAACTTACTATGTTCAACAGATATTTTTTTGACTTTTATAAATTTTGTTTTTTATAGAGAAATTAATTTTGTTCTATAAAAACGGTTTAATATGTAAAAATTCAAGGAGCAAAAAAATTTGTATATAGAGATTTTCGTTGTATAGAAATTTGTTATAATGATGTCTGACTATATATATATATATATATATATATATATATATATATATATATATATATATATATATGTATATATATATATAGTCAGTCAGTATATAATTATTGTTTATAACTATTTTTTATTTTTTGGAATTGCTAAATAAAAGATCATTATATATATATATATTTTTATATGTATATTTTATTATAGGTACAAACCTGACAAAGTAATTCTAAGTCTACAAAATAGCCAAATGACGGCTGATGATTCAGTTCTAGAATCAAATGAGACACTTATAACAGAAAATGACTTGGAGGGATTCAAAGAGAAACTCTCAAGAAGCTCCAGACAGAAACTTGATGGCAATTCTTCACAGACTAGACATAAAGAAAACTTAAAGGCTGAAGCTCCCACTGGAAGTTTAAGAGGTCAGGGCAGAGGTTTCAGGAGAGGTACCAATTTCAACAGAAGAGGACCAGACAGAAACAGGCGTGAATTTGACAGACATAGTGGTAATGAGAAAAGGTTGATAACAATTTTTTATACTTTTTAAAACATTTATTTCCTTAATTTTTTCGTTCATCTTGATATGATCTGTGGGGAATTTGTGAATTTTTTAACAACAAAAAAATGAAATATTATTTTCAAGTATAGTCTGAAAGTAGATTATTATTTTTAATGTGTTTTGCATTTTTGGTTATCATTTTTATTTAAAGTTTTTTAGGATAATGATAATATAAAAACTTAATTACTTCATTTTAAGCCACTAATGTTGTTTTTTCAAAATAATAAAATATATTCACATATATAACTGTTAAAGTGGAATTATTCACTATTTTTGTAGTGGTGTGAAAAGTTTAGATAAAAAAGACGGTGCTGGAGCTCATAACTGGGGATCGAATGCTGAAGTCATCGAGTTGGTAATTTGCATACTATCAAATAACATTTGTTTGCATTTTATGTGATCATTATTTTTGATTTCTAGTGATCAGATGTCTGCCAGCATGACAAAGGATGTCAAAATGGAGGATGCGTTAGTTAATGTGCACTCTTCTATTTGTATCTATCATAGTTTCACTTTAATTTTTAATTCTAGAAATAAGGAAGATTCTCAACAGCAACCTAAACTGCAAGATGGAAATACAGAGCCAGCTGCAGTAAATGGTGATCAAGAAATGCCTGAGGAAGAAATCAAAGAGATGACTTTGGATGAATGGAAAGCAATTGAAGAAAGTAAGAGAATTAAAGCAGAGTTCAATTTGAGAAAAGCTGGGGAAGGTTGTAGCGATGAGGCCAAGTGGAAGAAGATGATTCCTTTGAAAAAAAAAGAAGAAGAGAAAGGTGTACATAATACAGAAGATGAAATTGTAAGAAGCTATAAACATTGTTAATATTTGTCTTATATCACAGCTAGTAAATTTGATTATCTGAACATCTTTGATGCGTTTTTGGTAGCTATTTATTAAAAATTCTTGGTTTTTGTATTTTAACAGGAAGAAAGTGAAGGACATGCAAAAAAGCATCTACTCCCCATAGAGATAAAGTTCAACAGTGAAATGGGAACTGGTAGAGGAGGTGGTTCAAGCAGGGGCAGAGGCAGAGGAAGTCGAGGTGGAGAGGCTGGAGGTCGGGGTGGTCTCAAAAAACTGCAACAAAAACTTCAACCTACGCCTAACGTGGATGATGAGAAAGATTTTCCAAGTCTTTCATAGAAATTATGACGCGTTATGCAAAGTATTTCTTAATATCAAGGTATAACCCATAGATAATGTTAATTGAATTTAATGTGTTTCTAAGTTACTTTATTGAATAGTCCAAAAGTGGTTTGATGAAAGCATCTGACGAGTAAAGTAAATTTGAGTCCCCGTTATGTTTTGGCTTATCTTTGCAAGTTTTGCCATTTTTCATGTTTTTTACACCAAGTTTTTATTGCTGAATTTTTTAAACAATTTTAAATTTGGCTTTTGTTTCATTGTTATGTCATTCAACGAATTTTTCAAATCCAATTTGCGGGGCGTGAGTCTATGCTTCTCAAGTGTTTTGTTGAATTTGTTATGTGCGGAGACTGATATTGAATTAAGGATTTTTCGTATGGTTTAGTTTTTTATGTTTCAAAATTGCAAGATTCTCGTAAGCTAGCTATACGCAAACTGAGGTGAACAAAACTGGTAAATTTTCCGCGTGGATGTGAGGCGCTGCGTTTAATGTGTACCTTCGTACCTTATATATCAAATGTTTAAATTATTTTCATACTTTTGTTAACGATACGATAAGTTTTATATATTATAATTTATTAGCGTGCCATTTATTGATCACACGCGAGTGCTTACGCTCGTAAGATGTGTCTGCTCTTTTTAAATGTTCATTTGGAATTTTCATTTTATAGCCTTTTGAACGGTTTCATGAAATTTTCACTGGGCTTTTTGTTTGCATCATGTAGTTAAATTATAGCACATATTATGGCTTGAAATGAATCAGTTCAGTGACCTTATATATGCGGTTTACGCATCCACCATGCAACTGTTGGAAACTGCATATTATTGATCTAAACATTGTATGTGTGTGTGTGTTGTTGTGTGTGTTTGTCTGCAGCGTGTGCGAACCACGTGTATTTGTCTCTGTTGTGAGCTTTGTACATGCTACGTGAAAGATTTGTTAAATTAATATACGAAAACGTGTGGTGCCTTGTAATAAAAGAAAAAAGTTTTTAAATTTTTTTATGTTGCTTCAACATTTCAAAAATTAACTAAAATTAATTTCTAACGCATTTACATATCTCAATTAGTTAACAGTACTTAATTACAGCGACATACGCGCAAAGAATAACATAAAAACTGAAAAAATTAAATTCAAAGGTCTCCTAAATGAATTATGAAAAGCCACTAACAGCAGTGTTCAGATGATTCATGCTTTCTTACCTCTTGCAGTGAATGTGAGTTGAAGGCTGCCATGTGGGAAGCAATTAAAAAACGGAAAAAGTAATAATGGGATTTCGACAATCCGTTTTACATGATGGGACACATTTAAACAGATTCTCAAATAATTCACTTTTAAGAGCAACAAACATATCAATGAATTGTTTGCAGGAAGTTAAAAAGTGACATCTAGAATTGAGAACCGGTAACGAATTGTATATCAACGCTGACAGGATAATCTGATAATCTTAATAATTTCAAAACACTTCCATGAAAATCTGATGGGTGAAAACTGTGAAAATCCAACATGAAAAAACACATAATTCAGAAATTATTATTCAAGATGTTAACAAATTATTTTGTAACGCGGAAATGTTACCAAACGCAGTTATGTACGTAATTACACAATTCAGTCGTTTCGTTAGTATGAAGATATCCTAACAAGTGCTACAGGCGAGATAATTTATACAAGAACAGTTAAATACAAAAACGCAGTTGCTATTTCAATATACAATACAAATCCTGTTATAATATACAACAGTAAATATTAAATTTTTACAAGCGCATATTTACAAACGCAAATTAGCAGCCAGAACAACGATTGTCAATAAATGTTCTTTAGTTCTTTAAGGTGGTTTCCATTGTTAGCGCAAATGATACATGTTACAGTACTTTAATTAACTTGATGAAACGCCTCTTCTTTTTGCATCAAGATTGTGAAGCCAGCGATTTAGGAACTGTTCTCAATTTGAATTGGGCTGTAGATTTATTATGATTTTGATATGATTATGGTGCATATAAGTATTCATAACATTTTTCAGAACAAGATTAATTATAAAATTGCGCAATATAAAAATATAATAAACGCCATTAAAATCTACAATTCACCAGAGTTTCTATCCAAATAGAGACATCATATTTTTGTAAGCCTACTTTACACTGAACATTCAGATAAATTATCAACCACGTGACGGATCACGATAATTGAGGAATTCGGTGCACATACATAGTTTGGCATTTGATTTTTACTAAAATAAGAGATTAAAATTAAAAAACGTAAAAATATTAAAATATAAATATTAAATAAAACTACCTTGTTGGCCTACAGAGATCATAAATGGTTCAGTACAAGACTCAGCTGTATGACCAATTGTTCCACAATTGCAGCAACTCTGTGGGTGGTTTTCAGATGGCTGACTTGGTACACCAGGTAAATTTGAAGGCACCGACTGAATTGTTGGAGGTGGAAAATTGTGTGGATTTGCATATGGAGCAAAATCTAATGGCGGTGGTAAATAGAAATTGCCTCGAAAGTTTGGCGCTGGTGGAGGAGGATATCTGGGATTAACGAAGCCATTACTTCTGAAGTACATTTGAGGATGAGGCCATATGTTGAAAGAATATGGTGAAAAAATTGAATTAGAGGGGGTGGTACTTGAACTATTTGATGCTGTAGATAGAGAATTAGTCTGTATGTACGATGTTGGATGTATGTTATTGAGTGAAAAGTTATGCGAGGAGTGACTATGATCTATAGATTGATTATAAGGTGGTATGGTGCCTGGTGGTGGCAACAAACATGCGTCCAAGCCATTATTCCAAACTGCTGCTCCAAAAATATAGTTGGTTGGATATGGTGTGTACACGTTAGCAAATGAAAAATTCATGTCTGCTGGAGACGAAAAATTATTACTTTGATCATGATCATGTTGTAAAATGCAACCACAACTTGAAGGTCTAGGTAATGTTGATGTAATAACTGTTGTGTGTGAAGTTTTTAAATCTGATTTTGATGAATTAGGAGCAGAACCTTTGGTGTCGTCTGTAAATGCATTATCAGGTAACTGGTTTACAGATGCTCCCAATATTGGCCGAAGTCCGCGTACATTAGCTGTTGTGGTTACTGTTGTGAATGTTGTCTGCAGAAGTTGTTCTGACATTAAAGGCATCGCACTGTGATGAGATTTTATAGCTGAAGCAAATTGATACTGAGCATCAATTCGACTGAGCACAGGGTTGGCAATGGCTGGAGCCATTGTTTCTGATGTTACAATGCTGGATACTGTTTGCTGCAGTCCATTGCACGAATGATTTTTTAGAAAAGGAGACGTTTCTGATTGTTCAAATTTGGAACAGTTGAAATGATGTTTCAAAGGTTGATCGCCTGCACCTGTTCCTACCCCACAGGCCAATGGACACAGGTACAAAGGTGTATTTAATACAAAATTGGGCGTAATACCGCCTTCAGGGCATGGTACAGCAATTTTAGACATGAGAAGTTGAGAATCTACCTCCTCACAACATTTCATCTCTTGGTGTGATTTATCTAAAATTAAAAAATAAAATAACGAAAGTTGAAAATATAACTTTACTAACATAGAAGCAATGCACTGAAATAGAACCTAAGCAATGTAATCACTCAGTCAATAAAATATGCAAGCACTCACAAAAATGCAATGCACAAAAACGATACATAACAACTCAAGAGAGGGGCACTACAAATTACCTTAAATATATATATAAAACATGTTAAAAATAAAAATGTAGAAACCTATTGAAAGATGGTCTTTATATTCTACAATATTGTCAACCTGTAACCTTTAAAATAAATATAATTTTATAAAAAATCAAAAAATAAAGTGAAAAATTGAATAATTACTTCTCATTTCTTGGCAAACTATGAACGGATTTGGGTTTCTAGAATGGTAAAATAAAAATGATCCATTATTTTGAAAATGCTTGAATGTAAAAATACAAACCAATTCATAATTATTTCTAGCATTGCTTGAACCTCTATGAAAAGTGTGTTTATTATGACTGTTGTTGAAAGTAGATCGATGGCTGTGACAGGAGGTGTTGTTGGGTGACTGGATATTTTGATTCCTCCGTGACAAAAATCGACTGATAAAAAATGAAAATTTATGCACTGGGTTATAAAGAATGCAATCTCACAAACATGACCCATAGCAATGGCACGAGGTGAACAGTTAGTTGGCAGCATAAGGAATTGTTATAGAATGAGATTCATTAAACACTCCTTCACAATTGTGAATTAAAAGGTGATAAATAATGACAATGGATAATATAAAAGACATTTGGTTACATTATTGAAAAGGAAAATGTACACAAGTCACACAAGCACTTTAAAATAAAGAGCAGTACTTTGCACTGTTGTATGATGCAGCTGGTAAGAGAGATGGGCAGGAGGAGACCGTGGAAAGTGTCATTGAAGATGACCTTGTGTGAAACTGAATTGTGCTCTCTGCCACTTGGCTGACTACATCCATTAAATTATTGAAAAAAATTAAACATGTAAAACAAACACGGCGACGAATGCATGCACAAACACAGAGATATCATGCGTACCATGTGTGATTGGTGGGAGAAAATTACTGGCAGAGATGTGAAGAGCATTATCATAAGCAGGTGTGTTGTTGTCTGAAACGTCATTTACAAATGCATTATCATTATCAAACAAAACTTCTTCAGGGCCCGACGTAAATGGCGGATGTGGAGATTGGATGGGAGAAGTGGCTGTGCTGCTGTGTGGGGTACTGCTGCTCTTGCTCTCATTTCCACTTGTGACAACTGAGTCAGTGGTCACTACGTTATTAAATAAGTTGCTGGTGCAAATAATGCTAGTTTGTTTGTCAATACTGGTAGGACAGATGGTCAGTTGGTTTTCTTCATCGTCATCTTCAACCTCGTGATCATTTCTTGAGATTTGATTTTTTCCATCTTCACCTGTCTGATTGATCACATCAATAGTTTCAGCTGAAGATACTTCATGCTGCACCTTAGATGAGTTCTGGATGAAGTTGAAAACCACATCACTGTACAACATGTCCTTCAATGATGATAATTCTCTGAAAAATTATCAAATTATTAATAAATAAACTGCAGCTTAAATAAACATTTCATCCATAAGTACGTAAACCAAAAAGAAATTGGTTTTAATATTTACCTTATAAAAGTGCAAAAAAAGCTTATAAATGTAAAATAACATATTCAACAAATACTTGAAATATTGTTTCATGGCATTACTTTCATCTATGATTTCACCTGAAAAATAAAAAATTCATTTGTTACAAATTATGATGAGAAGTGCACTCACTCAAAATTGATAGAACTCATGAAGAAATATCTCTAATTAAAATATCAGATAGTAATGAAAGAGAAACAATAAACCAAAGTATTGAATGAATAAAAATGGAAACGATATTTTGCAATCCAGATAAACTTTGCAACTTTTAAAAACATTCAATTTTTCAACAAAAATTAGGTAAGAATCATTGAAACATTTGAGAGCATTATTATAACTCAGTGAAAAATATTTTTATACTTCAAACTCCTGAACTTTACCCAGGGATAAAAATTATGATGGAAACTTTCCAATTTATTTCCAAGGCAAAAAGAAGAAAAAAAGGAAAGCAATAACTACTTCATGCAGACAGGTGCTCAAAACAACTGGATACTATTCAAAATTAACTGGAGGTATATATAATTTGAATTTATCATGAATCAATTGCAAGCGCAGATTGAAAATGTTTCACATGATCAATAAACAAAAGACAGATTGAAAATGAATGTCCTCGGACCATTGTCAACTTACTACACGATGAAGTTCACCAAAAATTGTTTTATACAAGGGCAGAACTAGAAAATTAATCTAAGGTTAAATTAGATGCATGACTCTCATTTATAATGCTAGATCAAAAGGCACCAATATGTAGCATGTAATAAAATTTAAAAAAAAAATGCAAACACCTGAATTGAATGAGGAATCATATTTATGAAGAAAAACGACATCAGGGAAACTTCTTAATAACTGCAAAAAATATTACAATATTTCATCACTAACAGTGTGATCAATGTATGTATAGTCATATATTTAAGCGTTGATCAGTTTACAGTTAATTTTAAAACAAAAGGAATTAGTAACAAAATATGAAAAAATTAAGACATCATTACATCAGAATGAAACGTAAAGAACTCATTTCTGGTTTTCCATAGTTTTGATTCTGTTGAATTTGTCCTATGAATCTGAGAAATGTTCAAAGAATAATATAAATAAATCAAGTAACAGTGGATAATGAGGTGACTAACATAGATGAGTAATTGGCTGACATGATTAGGCTGGTTGTTGTCATAATTAAACTGCTCAACTGACACTTCAACTATGGAGTCATGACCTTTTTAGAAATTTTATAAAGTTAATTGAATATAATTGATTATAAATTCAAAAATTAAATTAATAATAGAATATATTTTGAGTTAATAAATTTAGAAAACTAACTTTTACAACTAGTTTCATTATCATTAAATATCAGCTGACATTTAGTCTGCAAAGATAAAATTTTGAAAAATTATTCCAAACTATTTAAAAAATATATGTAAAAAACTTAAAATAAAATATTAAAATACCAAATTATTTTGATTATGGGCTCCTTTCAAAGTCTCTCTCAGTGACTTACACAATGTGTACATTCTCGACCTCTGGCTTACAGAAAAAGCAGGATGGTAGGATGCCATTGTGAATAACAATATCACATCTTCAATGAGTTCATTGGTGACATTGGAGGACAGAGAATCACTGCTTTCACATTGCAAATCAACACACTCCTTTAAATTGTTTAACAAGCTGTATAACGACAGTGAACATGACTGGTTATCAGAACGTAAAAGGGATAAATACATGTTCAACGTTCCACAATATTCACGGCTTATGACATTCTTAATTTTTAAAATTTCGCTTAATTTGACGGGGTCGTTAACAGCAGATTCGCATTCATAGAAAGCTCTATAATTTCTCTGAATGAGGTCTTCCAGGCAGGAGCCGATGAACCTGAGTTCGAGCGGAACACAAAGTTGCAACATCCCGCACAATATCTCAATTCGGTCGACGCTACGAAGGGACTTAAAGGCTGCACACATATCGTCCTTTTGAACCATTTCAATTTTTGGAAAAATGGAGATGGTAAATTAAAGAGAGATTATGTCGATATTAATATTTTTATAATAAACGTTAAAAATCATACATTTTGCTACTTATTTTATATCTAATTTTCATCAAATAAGAAAAACAACTAGTTTTCATATACGCCACTTCCTGTAATAAGTAAGGCTATCTTTTTTCAAAATTTTATTATAATAAAACTTTTTCAATTTTAATCTATGTATGCTTTCGATATTCTATATATATATATGTTTTCAATAAAAAACGTTTGATGGAATGATTTTAAAATTAAGGTTTTGGCTGATGGAATTATTTTATGTATATGGATTGCAATGATGTGGTGATGCCATGGATATATATAATATCCATGAGTGATGCTCCATCGCGAACTACTTATTTTATATCCTCTAAGCCCAGCTTTTCTTTTATTCAAACGGCTGAGTAGGAAAGATACAAACAAAATAATAAAAATGTCAAGGTCACTACGTTTTTTAAAACTGTTATGGCTCTACAGTGGCTCTATCGTTTTCTTCCAATAATTAACTTTAGGCTGAACGCCAGAGCCACACCGCAATAACGTCACGCATTCTTATTAGGTTGATGAAGGGGCCGGTAAGCTAATGATATCCACAACAGCTAAAATACAGTATAATGTGTAACGGCATAGACGCTTCCTGGTCGATATTTAAGTCAAGTAGCATTGTTCTTCTTCTGTGTATAATTCAATGTTGCAATTTTAATATAAATGATTTATTTTTATTTTGTTCATCAAAATAAATATCATAGATGAGTGGTTTTGTCTAGACCATGGTGTTTTATACCAAGGCCACCAAAGCACAGCCGACATTGTTTTTATTTTAAAGGTCAATTACACTCCTCCAAAATTCAGAGGATTCAACAAAGCGCACAAACATCGTATATGAATACATGCTAAACGACGCATCACACACGAAGCATGTGATGGGCGGGGATCTTTTTGTCATATTCAAACCCCGTTAACGCGAAACAGCACTACTAGGCGACCTTAACCATTAGACAGTCACGCCGCCCAATTTTTTTTGTAACTTTCTGGTTCAGTTACTTGAATTGCTTGGTTACTTGAATGAATGTGTTTGGTCTATAAACTTAGAGTGCACTCAGAATTTTATCTTGTATTTTACCACAGCATACCAACATTGATTGTTTCTTTTTTTTAATTTTTAAATTTCTTGTTCAGCCATTTACTTGAATGAATTTGTCTGGTCAATATATTTAAAATATATTTAGAATACCTTCACTTAAAATTTTATTTTGTATCCCTTAGCTTCTCGCCTGAGAGATACAAGGTAAAATATAGAAAACACCGAGGTCGCCATATTTTTCTTGTTTCATACTGGTACTGCATATCGCAATTTTACTTTACTGAATGCAAATGCAGCCATAATTATTGGATATATATATATATATACATATATATCATACATATCAGATATTTTGGTAATAGACCATAATTTTTACAATATTCTATAAATAATATGTTTGTAGTTCATTTTTTCGATTTTTTTCACTAAAGTTTTTTTGCAAAACGTTTAGTTTATTAAAATCCAAAATAAACTTATTTTTTGAATTCATGCTGAAAATAAGGCCATATTTAGGAATCGAAACGTATAAATATAATTCCATTATATATATATAATTCCATGCTTCCTCCTGTCCCTGAGTTGCCGTCATCTTCGATGCCTTTTTTTTCAAGATTTCAACTAACGGTAATTTTAATGATAAATCGTATTAAAGTAAACCTCTTCCCTTTAACACAAAATACTATTTTAGGCTCTGAAGTTGTTTTTTGTTTTGGTGTAGACTGTATTTATAATTTATCGATAATGAAAACACACAAAAGTGTTATATTTTATGATGTCGAAAGATTGTAAAACTAAATATTCACTTTGGATAAACAAGGAACCAATAAATAGGCACAGAATAAAAATATTTGTTCATCTGGGCACAACCACAACATATCAATTTGAACACTGATGATGGTATAGGAATACCGAAAAAAGCTTTTCTGTTGTATCATGCATAAAACAAACAAAAATTTTTGTTTTGAACTAAAAACACTTGAAAATGAATTACAATCACCGTTAGAAAAACCGAAAAGTTAAATTGGAAGTTACTAACGCCAAACATGCTGTGATTTTTATCAATAATTGAATATATATATATATATATATATATATATATATATTTATATTTATATTTATATAAATAAATATATATATATATATATATATATATATAGTTATATCAATGGCTCTGATGTCACGCGTCCATTCTAAATGGTGCATGAAAATTTTAGCAGTTTAGGTGCAGGGTGGAAGTGACTGGCAAAAGCTACAGCTAATAATTAAAACGTAGTGACACAAATACATTGTATAAAATATTTATACAAAAATAAAAATGAAAAATGTTAACAAAATTTTACCTTTAACTTAACTTTTAATCTGTCAATCATTTGTAGCACATACGTAGTCTGCGCAGGTTGACAACTTTGGTTGACGAGATTTTCACCGATTACCGTTTAGTTGAAATCTTGGAAGAAAAGACATCGAAGATGGCCAACTCAGCGACAGGAGGAAGTGCCTTATCAACATTAAAAGTTAAAATGCAATCCTTACGCGATGATCTAGACAGGACTAAAGATGATTATGAATCAAAATGCCGGGAGTTAGAAGCGGAAAAAGCTTTGAGAAATCAGGTATTGTATTACAAGATTTATTATCATTATCTTGTTGTAAGCATTTTAATTAATCAGGTGACAAGATTTTTGGTAATTTGGTGATATTATTCTCGCTCTCTCTCTCTCTCTCTCTCCCGAATTAAAAAATTATGGTAGTAGTAGTAGTAGTAATGCTGTTCTGGAAATTTTCAAGTATTTCAACTTCTGATCACGATAAATATGTATTTGAAACCATCTGGAATATTATATTTGTTATCTTTTGACTCAACAGTCAAAGTTGTTTAGTTTTTTAGATTTAACAACAATGCCTTGAGCCAACAAGTTAACTTGCAAGTTAACTAATAAAGAGACACAGTAAAAATTAAGTTAATTTTTATTAAAGTTTGTCATAAATTTTTGTAGACACCATTCGCTAGTCATCAATAATTGTCATCTCTTATTTTGTGTATTTTATAATTTTGTTTTCGTTTATCATATTGAATCATTTAATTAGTCGACATGTGTTTTGACTGTTTAGTGTCAAAATATCAGATACTTGAACTTTATTGATTAATTTTCCAATAAAATTCCAACATGCCTGTCTTCTGCAGTGTCAACTTTTAATTTAACTTATTGTTTACATAGTTTTTTTTATTCCATAATTTGATATACACCCTCTGGATCATATTATATATTATATCTTTGCATCATTTTAAAGGTGCATGCTTTAAAAACCATTTATTATAGATATCAGCAAGAGATAAGAATTTGATATGGTTGTAAAATTTGAAAATTTTTGGTTGATTCTATTTAGGTTGAAAGTGACTACATGTCAACTTTGAGGAAGTTACAAATTCTTGAAGAATCATTTGAGCATGCCAATGAGAGAGCAGAAACTGCAGCCAAAAAGCTTGAAGAGATGACCAAGATTGTCGATGAAAATGAAAGGTACCATTTGAATTACAACTTTTTTTAATAAATGTCTGTCTTTTTTTATTTATTATTATTTTTTTATTATTTATTTCTTTTTATTTATTATTATTTTTTTATTATTTATTTCTTCCAACTTACTCAGATCAAGAAGAGTTTTAGAGAACAAACAGACCATTGATGATGATAGGATAGAAACACTGGAACGTGATTTGAAGGTATCCAAGATGGCACTGGCAGAGGCTGAAAAACAGTTTGAAGAGGTTACAGCCTATTTTATATTTAGCTTTTTAACCTTAGAAAATAATTGCTGGTTGTACGAATTGATTATGATAATAAATTAAAAAATATGAATGAATTTTTGATAAGAAAATGTAACTTACTGAAACTACGAAATTTGAAGGCCTTAAGGAAGTTGCATGTAACAGAATCAGAACTGGAGAGAGCAGAGGAGAAGGCAGAACAGGCAGAAAAGTTTGTATTAGTAATTGCGCATTTTATTATCACCATCCTCTCAATTGTCTATGCATCCATCACAAATGGTCGGCTATGTTAATAGTGAAGTTTTCCTCTTTTACATGATATCAAACACTCCTATTCTTCGTGACCATTATTCAATATCCTCACCATTATATCACTGCTAGCTCAGAAGCTTGTATAGGTTGTTGTTGTTGTCTAAGTGTGCATGTTATAATCTTTCTTTATTATGTTCAGTCAATTTTTGTTCAAGTTTAGCCTAAAAAGTGTAAATTTGATGGCCCAGATTGCTTTTTTTAGATTGTGTTCTTGTTGGTTTTAGATGTTATATGAATGAAATTAGCGAACAAATATAGTTCTAAAATGGATAACACTTGCATGTTTACTCTATCATGGAATATTTTATATCGCTAACAGAAAATATAAGCAGCTTGACATGGATTTGATGTCTGTATCAAATACGCTGAAGTCACTGGAGCACAATGAGTCCAGGGTAATGTTCATTCATTTATGTAACTCTAGATGATCCTGTTCTACAATGATCATGTGATTAGTTTTCATGAATACAAAAAAATAATCTCATATAAAAATTTATATTATTTTTGGATTCTGTTGATTTTTTTCATTCACTAGTTTTTAAATAGTTTTCAATAGTTTTACATATAAAACCATCCTTTCTGTTGTTCTTGATCATTAAGGTGCACATGTTATCAGGTTAGCCAGTCTGTATTTTGTACATGCATTGCACATGAAGTGAAAGTAGCAACTGCACAATGTACATACATGTTTCTTGACAATAACAATGGCACATTATTGCACAGCACACAACACCTACATGAAAGTAACAACTGAATGTTGACGCATTGGCAGGCCACCCAGAGAGAGGACACATACGAGAGCACCATCAGAGATCTGACTGCTCGTCTTAAAGATGTTAGTTCATTCTTCAATCAACATTGATTGTCTGTTCCTTCATGAATGCAACCTTTCGAGGCATTTTAGGATTCGTTGATATTGCTCATGGTTTTTGGACATGATGTACTGTGATTTTGTTTACTGGTTTTGTCTGTGTTATGAATTCTTAAGCTAAATATAATGATTCTACATTTCTTTAAAACTATTGACATTCATTGAACAATCATCATTCAGCAACAAGTTAATTAGCTATTAACTAATTAACATTTATCTGTTAACTAACCAATTACACTGGTCTACACATGAAAAAAAATTTTGCTGACTTGAGTATTTTTGCTGATTTTAAATTTGCACAAGTGACAATTCTTTTATTGAGCTCTCAAGCATATTAACATTAATGTACAATGAGAAATTTTTCTTAACAGATCAATTAGTCAACTGTTGGATTGTTATAAATAGTAAAACATTTATTGGATAATATCAATACAATGTAAAAACGTACAAAATACAATTTAGGTATAAATTCATTCATTTATTTCTTCCATAAAACGAACCTGTCCACTGAAAAAATAAAATTCAATTAATAGGAAGAAACTTTCTCTTTTTTGATTTTCTTGAATATTTTTTGTTGGGCTAGTCACGCTGTACACACCAAGGGTAGTCTGCCATTACGCTTGTGTTCCATCTGCCTTGATATCTGCACCCCATTGTTTTGATGTTTCGGTGGAAACGTTCTCCTTGTTCTTCACTCATGGCTCCGAGGTTTGATGGAAGTAATTTAAGTGGCTATGAAGAAAATGCAATTTTACACTCGTGTTTGCTCCAAATATTGAAAACATATCAACAAATTTTCAACTAAGAGATAATTTGCTGCTTTAAAGTTTCCTATGAAGACTTTAATGATATCACACAAAGCAGACCAAGCCTTTTTTTCTATGTTTTTGATGAACTCTTCGTCTTTGATCAGGAATTTGATTTGTGGCACTATCAAATATACTGGCTTTCAATTTTTCACAAGATTGAGTGGGAAACTAAGTATACAAGCACTGTCCATCTTGGTCCAAAGCTTTGGCATGAGTCCCAAATTTAGATGCAGGGGTTGGAAGCAACAGTTGTGTTGTCTTAAGTCTCCACATAACGCCCAGCAATGTTCGTTGTATTTTATTTTTTGTGTAAAATGCTTTCTATAGATTCATTTAGTGTTTATGAATCAGCTGACCAATCATGATTCATCAACCAATCGATGAATCAATGATGACCAATCAACCACTGATATTGAAACAAAACAGGCTGAACAGAGAGCCAGTGGAAACGAACGATCTGTCGTCAAACTACAGAAGGACGTTGACCATTTGGAAGGTGATGACGATGAAGATGATGAGGAGGAAAATGATGATGCTTATGATGATTGTTTCACTGATCTTTTGATTTGATCGATTGGTGAATGATATTTCCATAATGAATGTTGAAGTTGATTGACTTGTTTCTGTTGGAAATGAAATAAATTAGTAAAATTGTTTGATGAAACCATTGAGATGAGGTGATAGACGGATGTGGTTGCATACTACCGCAAGGTTGAGATGTTATCTTTTTTACATGGAATATATCAATGATAGATTGGTTATTATTATTTATTATAAGGAAGAGATGAATGTGACTTATTTGTGGTATGATCAGATCAAGCAAAGCAAATTGTGAGTTGATTTAAAAACAGTTAAAATTTAGTTGGAACAGTCATATGTATTTTATATTCTCATAGAAAAGTTAAGTCGGGCACGGTAGAAATGAATGTGGGAGAGAAATCTAAATGCTAATAAATCTTTAGCTGAATTGAGATTGTCGATAATCACCGATAATATAACATGGCTGTAATTGCATTTAGGACAGTCTTTATACTATTTTTACTTTTATCTAAGAGAAGAAGCAGCATAATTTTTTTTAAATTGGGTTAACTCCCGGTGCTGAGCTTTGTTTATTAATGAAATTTCAGAGGAACTTGAACAGATGAAGATTCAGAACAAGGAGTTGAAGGATGAATTGGAGAATGCGTTCAATGAAATTGCCAGCATATGAGCCGCCTAGCTTACCTCCGTTCAGTTTCCATTCCATTCCCTTCATTTCATTTATTCGTTTGCTTATTTATTATTTTTTGTTCTTTTGGAAAGATTAACACAATCATTTGCTATAAACTTCTAATTTTATTGCAGGCTTTGGTTCTCTACAGATCAAACTAACTAGCATATTGTGAAGCTGCTGATGTGTCATGGATGACTGCAACAAATGAGTTATATGGAGCGTGATTGTATGTAGTGCATGAGAGGCCGAATCTTTCGGGGTCAGATTGATTCAAGTGCCACGTGCTTTAATTGTTTTATTGTTTGCTATCATTAATATTATATATCAAATATTTATTTTGAACTAATGGATATAACTGGTGTGATAAGCATCGTTGAACCAAATGCCTTTTCATATGCAAAAACTAATTTTGTAATTTTAGATATTTGCACAAAGACTTCATTACTAACATCGATAAATTGTTATTCGTGTATTTTTGCCCTGTTCATTACGGCTAGCCTTCGATTCTCGATTAATTTCTGTAGTTCTTTGTCCAGCCTTCCTATTTTTTATCATTAGATAGTTAATGTTACGTCAACTTCTGCTTGTTTATTTTTGCATTGCAAATGTAATTTTGTGTGCCTACGTATGTGTGTTGTGTATGCGTGCAGTATGCAGTGTGTGTGTGTGTGTGTATGCTTGTTTGTACGCGTGTGAATGCCATTATATGTGCCTCAATGGCTTGAGATTAATTGTGATTCGTTCAAATCATGTTTGTATTAATTATTATTTTTTAATTGATTGTTAATTAATTTTTAAAACAAGATGAGTTGCAAATGGAGGGTTGCTGTGTGGTTGAATGCGTGTGCAATATTGGATGATGGTGATGATGAGGACGGTTATAATGGGGATGATCATTTGTGCTCTCATCACGTTTGTCAGTTTTAACAGCTTGTTCAGTTTTACCTTTTTTAACGGCTTCACATTTTTAACGTTGATGCTATTATTTCGCGTTTGCTATCCCATCTAATCCTATTGCATCTGCTGCTTTTTAATTCATAATCAAAATCAAATTTATATATTTCATTCATTTATATATTTTCGTTTAATTTTACGACGGAACATTTGAAAACAATAACTGCCAACGCCAGCTCTTCCGTTCATGGCGCCGTTCGTTCAGAACTTCTTCTAAGGCTGCACACAGTGAATTTATAATTCGGCACCACTGTACATATACGTAATTGCATATTTTTCAGTTTTATATCAATTGATATTTTAGTATCGCTAGCTACATTATTCAATTATTGAACAATTTAACAATTTCCTGCTAATTATTTTGAGTTTGTTATAAAATGTGAAATTCAGATTTATTATTTTTATAAAATAATAATGTCAAAAATTAATATATTTGACCGCCGTCGAGTTTGTTTGGCTGAATAAAGTTTGCTGAAAGTTTAAGGTGCTGGTAAATAAAAAGATGTCTTAGCATTTCTGTTAATGTTGTGAATACCAACACTGTTCAAATATGTTTGAAATATAGAGCGTCACAGACTATGCAAACATCTGTGAGGCTGTTTTTGTACCTGTCCCATCATTCAGTTGATCGTCCAAAGGGATAAGTAGGCATTTATTCACAGCGTATCAGCGACGAACAGTTTCAGGGTTGGTGCACGTAGCCCAACCATTTATGCGTTCACTCCGGCCATGCATCATTAAACAAATGAGAAATTCGCTGATCTACAGTGAGTCAATCGTGATACATAATAACAATTATAAATTTGCTGGCATGCAGTGCGTCAAGAATAAAATGCATAGAATAAAATGCAAATTACTTAGACGTCTTGACGCGAAACTTCGTAAATTTCAGCGATTTTCAAGCTGATTTTTGCAGTGTGAGTGCGAAACATAGCTTCAACCTAGAACCCGAAACGTATGGACGACAACTGAACAAAGCATCGCCGCGTTGTTTTCCGCGTTGTTTTTATGGATCGATAGTCGAGTGTGTGCTCCATGAAACTTTCGACACCTTGAGTAAGCCATTTAGATGAAGTTCCTTCCAGCGCAAGGTTTCAACGTATTTATTTATTAATATATTTATTAATAGGTTAATTCATTTTTCAAGCGTGTCGGTTCTTTATGGCTAGAATTTCTACTGATCGCTGTCTAATGTCCATCTGATCATTTCATGGGTCACCTTCACCACGCGGTAGGTCATCTCAATAATTACTCATTTATCTCGTTCATTGTCAACATTCCTCTTCTCTCTCTCTCTCTCTCCCCACTCTCTCTCTTTCTCTCTCTCTCCCCACTCTCTCACTTTCGTCTATTTTTTTTCGTTCCTTATCTTAATTTGTTAGTAATTGCAATTAGAATATTATAACATAACATTAATACTCTTAATGATTCATTCATTAACTTGTATATGTATGTATGTATGTATATATATATATATATATATATATATATATATATATATATATATATATATATATATACTTGTGTGTGTGCGTTCTTGTGTGTGCGTGTGGTGAAAGAGATTACAGAATGTTGATGGAGTGGTATCGATGTGATGATAAAACAGCAGCACAAAGATTCACGTTCCAGTGACTCGCAATTAAATCTCTCTCGACCTACTGGGCATACGCAGATGCAAAGTTCAAAAGGTCATGTCGTTTAAGTAGATCACGATGACCCCATTTTTTCTCTTCGCTTTTGTTTGTCGGGATTTTGTAAACATTTTATTTACGTGACGCGTGTGTCGTGGCGTGCCTACTTCTCTACTTGCGTGTGCGTTTGCGTGTATTTATTTGTTCTTCGCACTGTGTCTGTTGTAAGTGGGTCAGGCTTGTTTTGTTGGCTCATTGTGTATGCTTGTTTGTTAAAACAAAATTTAATTATATTTTTTTTTTATTTTCCATAGATAATGGTCCGATTTGTTGTTCCTCAGGTATATATTAGATGAAAGATTGATAATTGCTAAAAATTCATGTGATTGCTTTTTTTTGTCCTGTCAACAAATGACTAAAAGGCTTTAATGGCCTTTTTCTGCAATGTATGCTCATGCTGAATCAAAGAATAGATATCATATAATGAGATATATATCGTGTATACTAATACTAATTGGTATGTATCGTGCTGGATCAGGGGATAGATATCATTTAAGGAGATGTATATTATATATACTAATTCTAATTGGTAGGCATCGCATCGTATGAAACAACAGTTTATCAAAATAAATAACTGTCGGGAGACAGAATGGTGAATATTATTCCATTAAAAAAACTAACCAACTCACACAATACCAACGGCTGCATTCAAGCTGCATGGTTAGTAGCAAGTTGCATGTTCTGTCGGTAATCAACAACATCACATGAAAATATATTACATTATATTACATTAAACAACTAAGATTAAAATTGAAACACAACTCATTCATGATATATGTGCCTGCCAGGTTATTCAATATACTGTAACCAAATTTGTAGCAGACCACACACAATACAGATAAGAAGAAAATCAAGCTTACATAGTATCTCACAAAACACACACACACACACACACACACATATATATATATATATATATATATATATACACTTACATACTTTCTCTCTCACACACACACGCACCACACAACATAAACACGTACGCCACACACAAACAAAACTCGTCACAGAGCAGTGATTTGATGGACAACCATTGTAACAATTGTAATGGAATTTCATTGCGCCGACTGACATGGAGAAGTGACAATTTGATTCAATTTCTTGCAATCATACGTCGCACATCGCACTTACCTTCTACGACTATTTACGTATAGGTAGGCTTGTATGCCTTGCATACAAATATGTACAATATACGTGTACACACGATGTCTATGTAGAAAATAGATAATTATATGTTGGGTTGGACATGCTGCGAATCATAACTTGATTATAATATATATAAATAATTTAAACATTGTAGAGGCTACAGAAAGGTATATTTGATTGAATGAGCGGGCGTCGTGTGTGCGTGTTTACGCCAGGTTATTTGTTTGACGTTTGTATCAAGCTTAGATGTTTATATAATTTTTGTATCAAATATTTTTATATCATGTATATATTAGAGATGTTTACAACGTGTTTGTGACGTGTTTGTGACGTGTTAGAATAGATGCGGCTTTTTGAAAGCACTTGTCAAAGGGGATGCGACGAAATATGGATGAGTTTGACTGAATGCGAGCCTGAATGAACGCTTCTATGGTTGCTTGATGATTCAATGGTTGCCTACGTAGGAGTTAACTTGTATGTAGAGTAATATCAAGCATGCAACTTCCGACAACACAAAAAATGTATCTGAAAAAGGGCAAATATGAAACAACAGCAACGACAACAAAAATCCACAACTTTATAACAGCGTGAGACATTCACAAACATCAGTGACGAGAACAAATTCTAGCGACGAATGTTGATAACATCGCTGCATGCTAATGTGGAAAAATGTTGAAAAATGTTGAAAAATGTTGAAAAATATTAAACAACAGCAGCACTCACCATAACAACAATAACAGCCACAACAACAACAAAAACAACGAAATGAGCATCAACAATACTCACCATCAACATTATCTTTGTCTGACTGCAGCCAACAATATAAAACAACAATTTTATCAAAATCTTTAATGACACCAACAAAACAACCATATAGAAATCAACAAAATTGACAACACAACAATAACAAACACAACATAACAGTAACAACAACGTAATTGCATTACAACAGCAAAAATAATAACTAATAGCATAACATAGCAACAACAAAAATACTAATAACATAACAACAACAACAAATTATAACAAAAACGCTAACAAACACAACAATTATAACAAAACACAACATCGATCAAATTGAATTCCAGCAATTGTTTTCCATTGTCACCTGACTGAAACAATTATCTTTTCACCTTTAATGGTTCATACAAAATATATTCATGCATGCATTCATCGTAGTTCGTACAAATCTATGCATGCATTCATCGTGGTTCGAACGAATATATGAATGCATTCATCGTAATTCGTACAAATTCGTGCATGCATTCATCATGGTTCATATAATTCATGCATCTTACCTCATTAATGTGGTGCACATTAGTTATGTAAGCTGCAACGTACATATGAAGGGGCTACCCAATTAAAGTTGGGTGGTGAGGTAAAGGGTTCAATAAATTGAGTAAATGAATGATGTAATGAACTGACGGATGAATGAATGGATAGATGGATGGTTAGATGGATAGATGGACAGACTGCTGTAAACAAAAAAATAAGCTATTTGGTTGGTGTGTGTATCGACAGATTATAAAATTGCAAAATAGATAAAAGTGAATTGAAGTTATTGACGACCGAAGAAAAATGTAGTTTTAAAAAATTACACGAAGATGCAGCTAAATTCGTTTTTATTATTCGTTGCAATTAAAAAAACCTTAGGGTGAAAAACTTGAACGAGCAGGTCAGCCTGGCATGCAAAACAGTAGTACGAATGAATTTTAATTGGAATAACAATTGAACATCTTCATGCATCCATAATCTCACAGCAAACTGTCAATCCCAAGCATTCAATGAACAGTTTTAAGAAGCACATTTTTGTGTGGGTCCAACCCCACAGGTTTATAAGGAGGAAGAAGTAGAATCGAAGTTTTTTGACATAACTCTCTCTTTAGCAGTCAGTTGTCAGTTACTTTTAAATCTAAATGTTGAATATTTTTGACGTTAGTGAAAGTAAAAATACAAAACTCTACCCCTCTCAACCACTTGTTTCTACTATTGTTACGATGAAAAACATGTAACGAAATGAAAAATCATGGTCGCAAAAATGTATTAGTCGTTCCATAGTTTTTTTGATTAAGCTGACGTTAAATTCACTTTTAAATTCAAATTGTAGTCACATGACTTAGATTTAACTTCTGTCACACTTGTAAAGCAAATAATTCGCGAGTAGTGCCCAGTGCACACACACACACACACACAACACACACACACACAACACACACGCACTCACACACACACGCACACACACTCACACACACACTCACACACACACACACGCACACACGCAATTATGTACATTGTTAAAAATATAGGCGTTATCATCTAATGCATGTCACTTCAAATTTAATTAGGATCTAGATTTCAAAAAGTTAGCCACACAAGTTATATGGAAAAATTCGTATTATTGATTAATAACGAGAAAGTAAAAAAAATATTACATGCATGTGTGTTTGTGAATGTGTATGTGTGTGTGCGTGTATGCGTGCGTGTGTGTTTATGGTCAGGTTGTGTTTTTGTTTGTTGGATGTGTTGGAATGGAGATTGAGTTGTTGATTATGAAGTTGTTGATGCCATTGACCGGTAGGTAGGTGACTGACTGTGGGGGATAGTTTATGTGACATGTTGTTGTTGCTGTGTTGCTGTGTTTTTGTATTGTTGTGTTGTGTTGTTTTTGTTGTTGTTGCTGTGTTTTTGTGTTGTTGTTGCGTTATGGTGTTGTTGTTGTGTTATGGTGCTGTTGAAACAGAAGTAAGTAGCAGTAATAGCAGTAGTAGTATTAGTAATAGTACTAAGTTGTTGTTGTAGCAGTAATAGTAGTAGTAGTATTAGTAATAGTACTAAGTTGTTGTTGTAGCAGTAATAGTAGTAGTAGTAGTAGTAGTAGTAGTAGTAGTAGTAGTGGCGGTAGTAAATTTTAAAATACAAAAAAAAGATTATATACTTTGTATAAAGGGTTGTTATTTTGATCATAAATTTGTTTGCGATAATGATGATATGATTGAGGAGTTAACATCATCATTTATTACTACTACCACTACTACTTCTACTACCACTACTACTACTACTTCTACCAGTACTACTACTACTACTTTTACAACTACTAATACTTCTACTACTACTAATACTTCTACTACTACCACTAATATTGCTGCTACTACTACAAATAATATTAATAATAAAATAATAATAACCATAATAAAAATAATAATAGTAATAATAATAACAACAGTAATAGTATCTAGAGCGTAAGAAACGTTATAACGTAAAGAGGTCAGATAACATGAGTACGTCAGCTAATGCAACGTGATATCAAAATTGCTTTAATTGCTTATGACTTGCTGTTGCTGTTGTCGTTGTTTTAATGTTGTTTGTTATTGTAATGCTGTTGCTGCTATTGTAATGTATGTTGTTGATGCTGTTGTAATGTATTTTGTTGGTGCTGTTTTAATGAGGTTGTTGCTGTTGTAATTTTGTTGGTGCTGTTGTAGTGTTGCTATCGTAATGTTGTTGTTGCAACTGTAACGTTGTTTTCATTGTAATGTTGCTGCTTTTATTGTAGTGTTGTTGTTGCTAGTGTATTGTAGTGTGGTTGTTGTTGTTGTTTTTCACTGCATTTCAATGAAGCACTCCACTAGGATAGCAAGGCATTCGCATTTTTTTAAAAACGCTGAACAGCTCTCTAGAAAGAACTTTTTTTTAACTTGAATTACATTCTCATTTCAATATTTGTTTTTAAAATTTCGTTCAACAAATCAACAATTATTATTTTTCACTATCAGCATAAAATGAAAAGTTAGACCGTTAACAAAATTCTGTGTATTTGGAGAGCCAGAGATTATTTTATATTTCTTTGGTCATTCGCCATCTTGTCAAAATAAAATTATATATTTGTTGTTACTTCGATGCCTCCCAGTTCCATACCTGAAATTTTAAATTACGAAATTCTTCATAGAGAGTTTTGAAAAAATTAAAGCCGAACTCAAGTTATTGTTTTAGAAAATTAAGAGAAGACACTAGTTTGTTTGGTTTTTAAGATATTCAGCTAGGTTCTTTGGTAAATAAATGAATAAATAAATTTGAAAACCTTAGCAAACAAATTATGAAACTGTTTGTTTTTTTAGCATATGCGTGCGTGTGCATTGTAATAGTGAAAGAGCCTGCAACAATAAATAATAAACAACAACAACAAATAATAATAATAAATAATGAACAATAACAACAAACAACGATAAACAATGAACAGCAACAACAACAAAAATTAAACCGCAACAACAACAAACAACAGTAAATAATAAACAGCAACAACAACAACAAATAATAATAATGAACAATAACAACAACAACAACAACGATAAAAAATAAACAACAACAAACATCGCGCAACAGCAAAAGCATATAAAGCTGCAATCACCAACACTGTAAATGAATGAATGAATGGTTGAATAAATTGATGAAAAACATTTAATCAATCATATTTCTCTTCCTTTACCTTCTGTAGAACAAACAATACAGATGATGTTGTACTACTGAGTTGTTGTTGCTGGCATTGTATATTACATTAATTATATCTAACTACATTTTAATAACGGATGTTCCAATGTAAAACAAACGATCACTTCAACTGATAACAAAAAGACCAACAACTTGCACATTCTCACATTCTACAGGTCCAAAAAGTGGACACACACATACTCTGTGTTGTTCTCCATAACATTTCCATGAAATAAATACGAAACTCGCGAATAAGCACACACACACACCACACTCGCACGCACACACACATATAGGATGTGAATCATTGGAATGACCTTGAGTTTGATGGAGGTCAAGGAGTTTCCATCCATCACCGGCAACGAGAACTTCCACGTATTGTTCATATTCAAATATTAGTATTTATCAGTCACGTGCGCATTCATTGGTATTGTTTTGTATGCGGTGTATTCGGAAAAAGGTTTATATATTGTTCTGCATATTGTTTGTATATAGCTTTGTAATATTTGTTTGTATTTTGCTTTGTAATATTTGTTTGTATATTGCTTTGTAATATTTGTTTGTATATTGCTTTGTGTTATTTGTTTGTATATTGCTTTGTATATTGTTTGTATATTATTTGTATATGGCTTTGTATAATGTTTGTATATTGCTTTGTATTATTTGTTGCTGTTTCGTTGTGTTATACTTTGTAGTTTTTGTTTCGTGAATGTATTAGTGTATAATCTGGCCGTAAGTTTTGTTCATTCTGTTTATAGTCTGGTAACTTCGGCATCGTCATTTTGTTCTATTCTACAATTCTCTATAAACTCCTGTTTGACATGTTTAATACTGCATACAGTGTATAGAACTTAATAATTCATAATCATTACATAATAAGATTCCTTCCATGCTAACACCCAATGATCATAAATTCAGAAAGCATTGCTCTAAGTTCTCAGCTGGTTATGACTTATTTTCAAAACATAGCATTCAGGGTTCCTCTATTGCAATCCCACAAATCATTTAAATAATGGAGATAATTTATATTTAAAATCCAGTTCAACACCATTTTGTGTGTGTAGTGAATTATTTTAAATTTAAATTTAATTTTAATTCTTAATTGCAATCATGATGCGATCAAATTAATTAAAAACTAACAAGAACACAGTTGATTAGATTTCCCGCCTAAAATCACCAGCGCCATCTTTGCAGACGTTGTCGTCATCGCCATGAAGACACGTGACCACATCCTGTCGACCAATAGGAAATCACTTGTTCGTTCTTTGATGTTCCTTTTCAAACCATTCATTTTTTAGATGATCAATTGAACAACAAATCAAAGAAACAAACACACAAACACAACCTGAAACATGCACACACACACACACAACACACAATACACACACACACACTACACACACACACACATCACTACAACACAACGATTCACAATGAAGGACCCATGAAAATATAAAGTGACTCAAGATAAACATTATTTGAAACAAGAACACATCAACTTACAAATTGCAACATAAAAACAATGAAAAATTCACAACACAATAATAATAACAACAGCAACAACGATATAAACAACATCAACAACAACACATAACGAACAATACATCAACATTAACAACAACAACACATAACGAACTATACAACAACAACACATAACGAACAATACAACAACTTCAACAACAACAATGTTGATGTTGTGGTGATTTTGTTGATGTTGTGATGATGTTGATGTTGTAATGAAATTGATGTTGCAATGATGCTGTTGTTGTAATGTTGTTGTTGTGTAATGTTATTGTTATTGTTGTGATGATGTTGTTGTTGTGATGATGTTGTTGTTGTGATGATCAGAGAAGCTCCATGTTGCGTGTGAGCAGTCATGCATGAAGATTAAAAATGATTTTTTGTTGTCTCCGTCTGCTTGGCTGGTTGATAGCTGGTTGGGTGTCATCTTTTTTGCTTTAATGTTGTTTTGCTGTTGTGTTTATAGTTGTTTTTTGCTTGTTTGTTGCTGTTGTTGTTGTTATTACTTTTTGTGGTTTTAAATTGATGCGTTGTTACAATATTTTCCATTTTTAAAGAATTTGTAGCTAACTTTAGAGGGGTTAAATGTGAGAAAGTGCTAAGTAGACAGAAGGGACGCAAGCAAATAGGATGCCAACAGAAACCGTAATGTTGGCGATATGACCTTTATTATATGTGACATTGCACGAATATGTTCCAAATTTAAGGAATTTAATAACGTTCATTCACTCCCGAACGTGTTAAATTTTTGCTTTATTAATTTATGGAGGCGAAGGCAAAATAATCTCAGATGTTTTTCTTGAAGAAATTAATCTTTTTGATGCACACATTTGTTGAGTGGGACCTGTTATGGCTTATCTTAACAAATCTGTAAAAGATCTCCTTACAAATTTTATTTTAATTCTTTCTAAATAACAAAAAACTTATTTCAAATTATAAAGAATAATGAATAATTTGTGAGATTTAAGCAACCAATCAAAAGAGAGATGAACTGTCAATCATTCATCGCTAAACTCCGCCCCCGTTATTATCATTGGAAGGTCAAAGTTCAAGGTCACGCCTTCTTTTATTGTTCATCAGGTTCATCTAGCGTATTGTTGTAGTTGTTGCGCTGTAGTTGTCGCATGTGATTTTTCCATCTCTTCTTATGTTAATACAAGAGCCACAGAGCATACACAGATGTTGAACTGATTTCAGCGGATAAATATTCAACATTTACTAATCTCGTTGTTTTATTATTACTACTACTACTATCACTATTACTAGCAAATTTCATTTCACCAGTTGAAATATTCTATTCTCAGTTTAATTTAAAAATATTAACGTTTGAATGTTTGTTGGGTCTTTGGGATTTTGTTTGTACAACTGGCACGTTACTAAGTTACCAAGTTAGTTGGCTGGTTGGTTGATTGGTTGATTGATTGGTTGATTGATTGATTGATTGATTGATTGATTGATTGATTGATTGATTGATTGATTGATTGATTGATTGATTGATTGATTGATTGATTGATTGATTGATTGATTGATTGATTGATTGATTGATTGATTGATTGTTTAGCTGGTTGATTGGTTGGTTAGTTGGTTAATTGGTTGGTGGGCTGGTTGATTGGATGGTTGGTAGGTGGGTTGGTTGGTTGATTGGTTAGTTGGTTGGATACAATTCAACAACTATAGAATGAAAGCAGCATGATTTCGTTAATCTTGTTGCATATAGTTTATAAGCATAGCATTCACTCTGTAATGTTAACTAAACACAATGGAACCAAATTATATTGAAGTGAATTTCGAAGTGTATTTGCCATCATTAGGCAGGCGTAAATGAAGCGAAGACTGCACGATCGAGTCGATTATGATGATGATGCCCTCACAGGTGGTGATGATGATGATGACAGCTATTCCCTCAATGGAAAGTGTACAGGGCAAGTTTTAGCGCGCGCGTGTGTGTGTGCGCGTGTGTTTGTGTGCTTGTGTGCGTGTGTGTGTGCGTGTGTGTGTGTGTATGATGATATTACCGGCTGATATGTGGTGTAGTTTGGTGTAGGGTGGTGTGATATGTGGCTATGTGTGGTGTGGTGTGGGATGTTTGTTTGGGCTGTTTTTAGATTTTTAGTGGTTGGTGATGCTTCATTTTGTTGGCATGTTCACAAGTTTCAATGTTTGTTTTGCTGTCAGACTTGATCTGATCTGTGACACAACCGCCATCGGTCAATCATTTCATTAATTGATTAACTAAACAATTAATTAATTAATTAATTAATTAAAACAACGCAAACACAAATAATGTTTAGCAATAACTTCGATGCTAAATTTGAATAAAACTCGTAAATAAGGATGAAAAGCATGCGAAAAATACTCCATCTGGTTAGATAAGAATCTATGTACATTATGCAATATCGGTGAAACATTTCAAACAATATAATGATCAATGGCTAAAATCTCATATTATTTATTCTTTTTGATTATTTTTAAGATTATTAAAATAATTAAATTAATTTTAACTGAAAATGAAATCACTCATGCATTCTTGCCACACGTCATCAAACTCCATCGTAACAAACGATTCGATACGAAATTACTTATTCGATACGAAACTGCACACACCGTATAAAACGAAACGAAACATCAACCGCATAGCTCTCCGACACAAAGTTGCCTCATTCCCGATAGAAAGAAAAGAAGAGGGGTAAGTAAGGGTAATGGTAGTGGTGATGATAATGAGTGATGACGGTAATAATGATGATGATGATTGGGCCATGGTCGGAATGGTGGTGATGATGTCAAAGTGATAATGGGGATCCTAGTGATGATAACGAGAATGCAAAAAAATACATTAGGATCATTCCTTGCCAAATTTATCATTAAAAAAGTTTAAGGTTGTCCATATCATGTCTTTGCAAAAATTAAAAAATTTGTTAGCAGATATTTTCTACTTACTGCCAGGGTAAAAATTATTTTTCAAGTTTTCATGATTTTCGTGGCACTGCCTTCTAATTTTCAGATGGGTTTTTCCAAAAAAATAATTAGAATATCTCTATGAAGTTTTTTTAACGATGAAATAAATACACAAGGGTAGCTAATGTTAATGGTTCATAAAGGTGGCAGGTGTTCGGCTGACGAACAATTACTTTTTTGTAAATTAAATAAATAAATTAGGAGCTTTATCATGAAACTGATGTCGCCATGCTGGAAATGCTGCGTTGTTATTGTTAATAGCATCAGTTAGAAACAAACAGCTGACTGAAAACAACACATCTGACCAGTTTGAACTTCAATTGTTCAGTTCACTGTGACACGAGGGAGCAAGCTGACTGACCTCTGACCTTTATTCTCTTTTACTTCAACCACCACACCACTGTTGACTAACTTTTATTTCAACGTTGATCATCATTCGTTCTGACCTGGCATCGTTAATTAATGAGTAATTAATTAGTTGTTTTATATCAAACAGAAGCAACCACAAGCGATCGAACAATTTTATGAATTTTTCATCAACTGATTTTTTGGCTTGTAGTTTTTGTTTGAGTGTTTGCCGCGGGTGTAATTTCGAGTTTATATTTTTGGAAAAAGCACAATTTGAATTTTTGGATAATTATTTCACATCTTTTTAGTTTTGGTTTGATGCTATTTTATGGATTTACTAAAGTTAAAATTTTGTTCATTGTTTATATTTATGGTTGTTAGGAAATCTTACTCACTTCTAATTCAACACCTAAAATAAGGACGGCAAATGATGAACTATAGTTGGTGTTGGTTGGTGTTCATACCGCAGTAGGAGTTGGATGTAAATTAAATCTTCGCAAACGTCGGAAATGGTGGTTTACTAAAATTTACATTAGTGAAATCTCGCTACATTTCAACAGGATCATAAATATGGAAAAGGAACTGAATCAAATAGTCCTAATTTGTCATAGGCCATCCATATGATAGTAATTTGACATTTTTTATGAAACGTAAGCCTGACGTATTTCAGATACAAATAACAACATGTAAATGCATGCATGTAACAGGCATGCAGACAAGCAAGCAACCAACCACCAACAGGCACATATAGCAGGGAGAAACAACTAACAAACAATACACTAAGTAGGAAAGTAATTCCTTGATAAGAACGGTCAATATGAATGTATTTATGATGATGGTATCATGTTACGTGTCAGTTATTCGCATAAATAAATGATCTATTCCATCTTGATTGAAGTGGATGGGGTCTTCCTTTTCATTTCTTCATTCATTTCATTTGTTCACGTTCTCAGCGGTGAGCATCTTTTTGTTTCTTGATTCACTTCTTGGTTTTTAAACGTACAAGTGCATTTGTTCCTTCGTTTGTTTTCCGTCTGATGAACTCCTTTGTTTCTACTTGTCAACGGTCGGATCACCTAGCTCCGTTTAAAAGAACAAATTTCAACAAAATTAAAACAATTAATTTACATTTTAAAACATGTTATTCCGTATAAACAATTGATGTTTTCAATGAACGCTGTTGACGAGACGAAAACTTTTTGAAGATAATTGAGAAGAAGCGGCGAGATCGAATCAACCAATGTCTCATGGAGCTCAAAAGATTGGTCCCTGCCGCTTTCGAGAAGCAGGTCCTACAATTTTTCGTTTTTTTTCAAACAATTTTTGATGTTTTTATGCAACAACTCAAAAAGTGTCATTTAAAATTGCAAATTTTTAAATTGCAGGGTTCAACAAAACTGGAAAAAGCGGAGATTTTGAAAATGACAGTGGACCACTTGAAGATGACCCAGGCAACAACAGCCAACAACAGCACCAGCAGCAACAACATAAACAAAGATAAAAAATTCTGCAAAGGTGGGTTGATAGAGAGCAGTGCTTCAACAAGTGTTAATTACAAACTGCTTGGCTACCACGAGTGTGCCAGTGAGGTAGCCAGGTACCTGACGACCTACGAGGGTCTGGGCTCGCAAGATCCACTCTGCGTCAGATTGCTCAATCATCTCAACTACTACGTCACACAACAACAACAACACCATCAACAGCATCAACAACATCACAAGTATAATCATCATCAGTTACATGTACCAAAATTGCATTTCCAACACACAATCAGCAACAACAACCGATCGTCACTGTTGTCCGTGGCCACCTCTGAGAACACTCAATTGGTTAGTTTTGTGTGTACCACGTTTCTTTATTGATGAGTAAATAATCGATCCAACCAGTGAATGCTGCTTTAATTTGATTTGTGAAAAATTAAACACTTTTAATTTTTTAAACAATTTTTTTAGCAAGAACTCTTTTTCTTGTTTGTCATTTTAAACCGATAAAAAATATTTAATTGTCCATTTTTTCAGTTGAAACGACAATAATAAAATTTATTTGAAAAAAATTAACTTTTACGCACAGCAGCAGGTTCAATCGGGACTGGGCTACTGGGACCAGCCACCAACTCGCCCCATTGCAAACCGGCCCTACACTCACATTCCACACAACTTCACTTCCAGCAACACCACATCATATTTGGAGCCTTCTTCTTCGTCTTCATCACTTTCCTACTCCTACTTCCCACCAATCACAACTTCTGCCAGAAGTTCAAAGGTCAATGACATCTTCAAACAGTTTATTGGAGCCAGTTGTGCCGACAACAAAACGAATACCAATATTTTAAAAAGTGAATTGTCTGGGCTTGAACTTTATGCTGACAGTCTCGTCAACAGTAATAACAACAGTGATAACATCAACAGCAACAACAACAACAACAATGACAGCAACAACAACATCAACAGCCACAACAATATTAGCAAAAGCGACATCAACAGTAGTTTCCAAAAACCATCGGACAAGAAGTTCGATGAGACCTTTCAACTGCTACAAAGTGCAAATTGTTCCTTGTTAAACTTGCACGATACAACGCCACTAGTGAACAACAACTTCTTCAGCAACAACTTCCTGAACAGCAATCACACCATCAACAACAACCACAACCAAAACATTAGCCATAAGGACAACACGAACCTTCAGCAATCTCTTGAAACTTCTCAGTACCCCTACGCTCCAGCTGGATATTTTTTTTCACCCCCTCCTCCTCCATCATCGACCACTTCGTCCACCTCATCCTCCATCTTTCAATATTTGAAGCCCTATCGACCCTGGGGCACTCAACTGGCTCTCTATTAAACTTTATAGGAAATTAACTCTTGCGATAGACCGATATAAAGTCAATAATATCAATATGTCAATAATAGTTTATCAAATTTTTAGAGGTTCGTTGCTTCGAGCCACCATCAATTAATTTTTTGCTCTGATTTGTTTTAAAAAGTACGCTAAACTTCGAGTTGGTTAAGTTTATTTATTCTTAGAGTTAGAAAAAACATGAAATAAAACATTAACTTAATGACAATAAATTAATAAGCACGGCCAATAAAAATATAAAAGCAACATGTTGGAAGGCATGGAACCGCAGCAACACAACAATCTTTTTACTCATACATACACACAACACACACACTCCACACACACGTACACACACACGTACACACACACTCACAACACACAGCCTCAACCCAAACACACACACGTACACACACGCGCGACCAAACACAAAATCACAAAGACACACAGCACAATGTCCTGTATGTTGTGCATGTTACATAGTTTGGAATGAGCACTTTTACTGCCTGCTTGTAAGTGATGTGTTTGAAGAATGATTCTTTTGGCGTTCAATAATTAATGGGCTTCTTCGCTTTTCTTGCTCATCATCATCATCACCGTTGTCGTCATCATCATCACTATCATCATCATTATTTTCATTTCTACTCACCATTGTAAAGTATAAGTTAGTAAAAAGCGATGCTTACCTCTTCATTTCATTTTATTCTTCCATTAATTTAAAACAACAATCATTATCAAGACACATAACACGCAAGCACATGAACGCAAGAACATGTAAAAACACACACAAACATCATGCACAGTCACACACAGAAGCACACACGCGCACGCATAAGCACGCACAAAACATTCAAACATCATAAAGATGGAGGACACACACACACACACGCACACACACGCACACACAAACACATGCAGAAGTTTACAAAAAAGCTCTTTAATGGAAGACACACGAGTGTATATTGTGTTGCAAATTTTGATGTGCGCACCTACAAATCACGACGCATTGTCTCAGTAGTCAGATTGGATGATCGCCTCAATTGTTTTTTATGACGGAGCTCAAAGAGAAGAAGACACTGTCACGTGGGTCGTTCACGTGATCGAGTCCTTCCATACAAATGAATTATGTTTCCACTACTTGTCTCCTGTTCTCACGTACACACGTTTGAACATCAGGCATAAATATACACACGCCAACACGTACATGAAGGCGCGCTTTTGTTGCTAATTTCGAAAGTAAACCATTTTTCTCGCTAATTCTCATTTTAAAAGTTAACTTCTAATTGAAATAAAATAAATTTTTGTAACAAGTAAACTTGTGATTTTACCTTATTTGTGATATTGTAATATATATATATATATATATATATATATATATATATATATATATATATATATATATATATATATATATATATATATATATATGAGGGTTCCATGTTATTTAGAACTTTATTTTCTTTTATTTTGATGGAATCCATCTGCATGATCCACGAAATAAACTTTAAAAATGCATTGCAGCCCATCTATTGAAGAAGGTCGCATATTATTCTTACCAACGCAAACCACACCTTGCCAGCCGTCCAACCAGCCCACCTACTCAACGGTACGATCATCTGCACATACATGTAGAGTTGTAGGCGCTTGCTTTTATCTACACGTGTGCAGCATTCGAATGTGTTTAACATATTTTTTGGAAAAATATGTATTTCTGTAATTATCTTATTTTGGTTTAATTTATTTGACGACAAAAGCAACATTTTATCCAAAGTTAAGAATTTAAAGGAGATGAATTGTATTGATTCGTCTAGGGTGTAGGAATCTTTGTTTATTGTCGTAAGTATTGTCAATAAAACTAGAACTTAGTTATATAGATAACCAATGACATTTGAAGTTTGGATAATAATTTTGATAACTTGTAGCAAAGTTTTACAAATATGCTTTTATTTTTGTTCATCAAGTTTAAATAATGTCAACAGACTAAAACGTGATGAACGCAACAACCGATTGTCGGCTTTTATGCTTTTTCACAGATGATATCAGCGATCAGGTCAGACAACCTGTTTATCATTTCGCTAAAAAATTACTCCATGCAATTTACAAATAGTCTTAGCAAATGCTTAACTTTTTAGTGGCGTTTTTGTTAACATTCGTAAAAACTTGCAGAATTTTTTTAAAAAGTTCATTCACTAGAGAAGTATGATAGGTAACTGATTTGACAGATTCGTGTCAAATAGTAATCTAATTTCAAGAATAAAAAAGAATTCAAATTTCATACCAAATCCGAACGTTAACACCTGGTAAAAAGCTCCTACTTCTTAACGTCAAACAGTTTTTTGAAAGATTAATTAGTGTTGTAATGTATGTAAATAATAATGTAAATATCGAGTTTCAAAATGTTATTTGGTTGCACCTATCAAACTTGAATTGAAAAATTTGAAAAAAAATTGTTAGAACGTCAGTGTGAAATATCATATTTTTGTAAATTTCTCTTCACCGTAAGTTTGAAACTTCGATTTACAGACTGTTAAAAGGTTGGATCAAATGATGTTTGATATTGTCACCTATCTACATGTCATTTGAAGTGCACTTTTGTGATTTAAATGGATGCTGAAAAATTGCTTGTGGTAATTACAATAATTATAATTACAATAATAATAATAATAATAATTATATTTATCTGCAAAACAATAACACAATAGTGCATAAGACTGCAGTTTTTAATTTCTTGAAATTATCTTATATAAAGTAATCATTAAAAATCATATAAATTCATAAACGTGGTGAAAAATTTTTGAATAAAAAAAGTTTTATAAAGTTTCACAATTGCATTTTAATTATTAATTTATAAATTATAAATTGCATTTTAATAAATTGCTGATAAATAAAAAAACAAGAGTAATGAAATCATGGAAATTAATAAGAGGAAAATGAATAATACCAATACGAATGTAAACTGAAGATGAAGTGATGGAAGGTTGGAATGTAAGATGGTGGAAAGTGGTGGAATGAGTTCGTCATCAGTTGATTTTGCTCCTTGCACAGCCGGGACACAAGATGTCGTCTGCTAATATGACGAACCCCCTATCGACCAGGCTGACGTTGCATCTGTAACAACTGAAACATCGCGCGTGCCAGTTCAGGTTCTCAAAATTTATGAACTTCATGTGCTTTGTACCTTCGGTTGAAATTTTCATTTTCCATGGTTAATTTATTTATTCGATTACTGCTACATTTGACATTTTTACTACTAACATTTGAAATGGTTAATTTTTTATGAGCAAATTTAATAAATTTTGATAAATATAGAAATATTAAATATAAAAATTTGTGACACACGAGCTTTTTCCGTAGAAGCAAAGCAAAACTGCTAACGCAGACTTTTTATATTCGAATATTTCTGAAAAATTCTAATTTTCAGCATTGCATATGTACACTCAAATTTTGTTTAAATTTGAAAGTTTCTTCAGACATCTGACAACCGATCGATACAAATGAAAAGTCTTAACATTCTAAATAGCATGAAGATCAATGGTTTCTTTTTAAAAATTAAATTGATCACTGTAAATTGCTGTGTAAAAGTTTTGAGAAATTTTCAAATTTCAACGACGGTCGAATTTTAAATTTTAAATAAATTTTATTAGTTGAAAATTTTTGGAAAAAAGTACTTGAATCACATCTCTGTAATGCACTTCTGTCAGAAAACGAAATACAAAAAATAAAAAAAAAAAAAACTAAATCAACCTTCGATGTCATGGTAGCACCTGGCACATTTCCTGAAATACTTTTTAACGTAGCAGTCGCCACAGAAAAGTTCCTTGTCCTTACAGGCGTAGTCTCCCTTGCCAGCTGACGTGGAACTGTCGAGGAGATGCTTGCCACAGACGCTGCACGAGAAGCAGTCGTGGTGCCACTGAACGTGTGTGTCAAAACATTCAACGCCTTCCGATTTTATGGCCTGTCTTGCAGCACAAGTTATGCGTGCAATTTATTACACGGAGTCATGGCTGCGTTTTGTCGTTATATCATTGTACCGAAATCTACTAATATATTTATTGTAAATGTCTTTCTGATCTTATTGAATATAGTGCTATGAATGTTATTGACGAAAAATGCACTAAGTTGTGAAATATGATCTAAGCGTTTCATAGATCTAAAAAAGCATTTGCTTCGGTCTGGTTTGAAGGGTTGTTGGTGATCTTGAAATCATCAGCACTGTTGCTTTTTTCATAAGCAACATTATTGAAATACCAAGGAGAGCAGTGAGGTTGAAAACATCATTGATCGGTGGAATAAATCTATAGCAATATGTGACTATGAAATGTTTGCGTTGCCGAAAGAAATTCTGTATTTTTAATAAGTAATTAGTAATTATCTATCAAGGCAAATTTAAAAATAATAAAAATGGCTATGGCTATTTTCTACACTGACTGGAAGCAGTAGAAATGAGATACTTCGGAAAACTGCTTGGAGTTAGTAAAGACGAAAAGTGAGAAACGAGATCACAAGAAAGTGGTTTGGAGAAAAATAAAGTGAAATACACAAAATGGTCCAAGTTAGATGACCATGAACAAAACAACCAACAGGCAACCAGAAACACAAAGTGGAAAGAAGACTGATGATGAATGATGACAATGATTAAAATGATGATGTTGATGATGGAGATAAAGATGAGGATAATGGCGATGATAATGATGACAGACCTTGCCACACTTGTGGCAGAGTTTGACATGCATCTGTTCATAGCACTCAAGACACATGAAGTCACCAGACTGAGGCAGCTGGATGAATGGGCTAGTGCTGATCGGGTAGTCGCAGCGCACGCACCGCAGACACTCCTCGTGCCAGTGGCTCTTGTCGAATTCGAACACTCGCTGACCTGTCCAAGAAAAGCTCTTCATTATATTACTAACCAAAAATTATAACGTAATAAAATTAATAAAAATAACTATTTAAACGAAATATACCTAATTAAAGAGTTGCCTGCAACTGCAACAAAAAACAACGAACGATAGTATACGTGACGATTATTACGCAATTTTGTGAAAACCTTGAAACCGACCATCTTTAAATTTTTCTTTGCACCTGAAGCATTCGAGGTTCATCTCCTTTTCATAGCAGGGAGGACATATGAGGAGGCCATCATTGAATGCGAAACATCTGTTGACCAACGAGGCTCCGCACAGCGAACAATTGAAGCAGTAGTCGTGCCAGTAAAAGTCTTTAAAGTTCATTTCCTACCGACGTTTCGTTATATTTCACGCTCATCCAATTTTATAAAATGTGGTTGGAGAGAATAAACTATGTCACGTAAAAAATAATTTAGTTAATATTAACATTACAACAATTTAAATAACATAAGTACTGCAAAAATTAAAGGTTGGTAGGCAGATTTTTTCATGGTATGATTGGTTTTCTTCTAACTTTCCAAGATGCGGCCTACCCAGAGGCAACCGGAGCTGTTGAGAAAGCATTCGTCAAGTGCGCTTTTCACCCTTTCTTTCCATATATGCAAGACTTTCAAGACATATCGGCACCGTTGTAAAACTGACGAAAGGAAACATCCCATCATGCTAGCGCCACAAAATATATGACGGACATTGCCATTCATTTTTAAGGTTATCCTCGTACAAAAAATCATTCATAATCACGAATGATAACACAAAACATGAAAACGAAACCGCTGAACTGAACAATGAACATAATCTCAAAGACAAACATGCGGTACAAACAAAGAAAAGAACTAAAAAAAACAAAGCAACAAAGAAACAAACAAAAAAACATGCAGACCATCTGATCTATTCGAATCCTCTTCTTGCAGGCATAACAGCGGTTGGCAAACTCCATTTCAAAGCACGAAATGCACAGCTTCTTCGCGTCAACGTCAACCGACTTGTAGTTCTTGAGGTTCATCTTGCACGAGTGACAGACCAGGTGCTGCTGCTGCTTCTTCCTTCCTCCACCACCATCATCGTCGTCGTTGTCGTCATTCCACTTGCCACTCTCATCACTACATTCTGACTTCTTATCATCATTCTTTTTATTGTTATTATTATTATGCATTTTAATATTATTATTAATATTAATATTGTTATTATTATTACTATTATTACTGGCGAGCATAATGCGCAATTAAAGTGTTTTTAAATTAAACTGCTGGAAAAAATAACGTAAAATTCTGCAAAAGTAAGTGAAGTTAATATTAGCAAACAAAAAATATATGCTGCACCAGAAAATGAAACTTTATTAAAAGGACAACAACAACAGAACGTCATCATTATTATTTCCACTAGAGAGAGGGGACGTTTGCACGTACGTTAGTACAAAATAAAACAAAAAATATACTCTGGCAGCGGTGGGATTCGAACCCACGCCATTACTGACTGGTGCCTAAAACCAGCGCCTTAGACCACTCGGCCACGCTACCTCAACGATTTAGTCACTTTTAATAGTGTTTATGTAATAAATAGAAACCTTTTTAAAATGTTTGGTTTGTTTTTAAAATTTTTTTGTGAGTTTGGTTATTATTGCTTATTTAAATTAAAAATTTTGTGTTTAATTTGTTGACAAAATGTAGTTTTTATTAGACAGGTTTTTTTTTAAAGTTAGGCGTTTATAAATTATTGTTCTTTGTTCGTCAAATTTTCATTGTATTCATTCATTACATTTTATGATCGTTTATCGGCGGTTCTCTTTTGATTTTTATTTTGCGAGTTGTTCGAGTTGACTAATTTTCTGATCTAATGGCCGATTAATTGTCAGATGCGGTTGTAATGTCTGATTTTTAATTAAAGATTTTAACATACGTTTTTAATAAATTAATAATTTAGTTTAATTTTTAATTTTAATATTAATAATAAATATTACATTAATATTAATAGCATTAATATTAATTAAAATTAAATTATATTTAAATTCACTTAATTATTTGTATAACATCTTTGCAGTTAGTAATGAATTTTAATTTCATCTAATCTAACTAAATATAAAAATTATTAAATTAAAAATAAAATTTTACAAAACTTTATTAATTTAATAAATTTAATTAAATAAATTATAATTTAATTAATTAATTCAACCTTAACTTTATTTCAAAATCAATCATTCATTTAAAAATTTGATTGATTCATCTTCTAATTATTTATTGTTATATAAATAATTAGATAGGATACATACACAAATACTATACTCTCTTCTCTGAAATAAAAATATTCAAAAAGTGATATGGCAAAGTTATTAAAAATCTGGTTCTACAGCTTCATCACAATCATATCATTGTTACCCGACATTAAAAAAGTTACGTGTAACGACAACTCTACTGTTGCAACAGCTAAAAAATTACCTGCTGACAACACTAAAGTTCACTACATTGTTACAACTTCACATGCAAGAACGACATCAGTTCCAGTCGTTCGCTTGTCACCAGCAACTACAACAACAACAGTGAGGACTACAACAGCTGCACTGGCAAGGACAACGCAACAGACTTCTGAGCTTTCATGTTCCTCCGTTAAAAAGTGGTGGCTCAGTAAAGGAATCGACAAGAAACATGTTTCTGACCATTCTTTGAAAAGTTTGTTGGCGTCTTCATTTTCAATTTTTATGCAATGTTATTGAAACATTTTCATGGAACAGAACAAACAATATTGATGTGGTGCATTCATTCATCGTTATATTATTCATTAAAATTAAAAACATCCAAGTGACAGACGAATGTTGATTGCAAGTTTGCAAAAATGAATATTTAGTAATGCACTTGCTTATTTGTCTATGTTATGTTCAAGTGCCGAAGTGTAAGTTCTTCATTAATAAAAAATGAATGATATGATTTTAAATTAGACAATTGAATGTGGAAACATTAACTAATGTTATGCTATAGTAGTTTTCATGTTTGAAGAAATAATTTTGTTGACGAACTTACAAACAAGGTTCTCCAGTGTTGTTTGTTAATTAAAATTATATTATTTAAAAATTGAACAAAGGTGTGGTACAATATTAAAACCTTGTTGTCTCTATATTTATGTTTTTCCTACTTTTATGATGATTGTTTCAGTTATAAAATAATAATGACCTCCATTCACACATTTGAAAGGAACTGCACAATTGCTGAACAATTGCTTTCTTTTTTCTATCAATTGCTCATTTCAATGAATTGATTTAAAACAAATTTTTTCTGTGATTTTGTTGCAAACATCTTGTTATAAAGAGTAAAATAAAGAACTTAATTTGTTTCTGTTACATGATCATCAGTATTGGTAAGGTTATCATTCATTCATCAGATTGCTTGCTGCTTGTGTAATAAAATACAATGCATGTAATCCAAAGTGTGTTTGTGAACCTCGGTCCACATATGTCAGTCATTAACAAATTTCTTTGTTATCAATGCATTTTTGTTCCTGGCTTGCTTGCTGCAGTTTATGATTTATATTCTTTTAATTTTTTCAGTCTGCTTATTTGTCAATTTTATATTTTTTCTTATTTTTGCTTTGATATCTTTGTCAATTTTTGCCTTGTAAATTTTTAGTTTATCTTTTCTTAATTATTTTTAATGTTTTCATAAATTAATGAAAGTTGCTGTGAGTTTTATATAAAGAAATTTGATGATGACGATTGATAATATTGAAAAGTTGATGTTTATAATTTGGGGATGTCATGGATTCCATTATGTTTGATGTCATAGAAAAGGAAGGATATTCCAGCAATTTATGCCTTCATATCATGAATTGTTGTATCATAAGAAGATTCATCCTTATCAATGCTTAATTGAAATGATTCCACATAATATAATATTTCAACTGATTTTAATTATCTTCCTTAAAGCTGAATGTTCCATTAGAACTTAGAGCAATTGAATTTGCATATCTACCTGACTGAATTGTTATACAGAAATATATCTGTGGAATCTTGAAGAATGTAGCTATTAATTAACAAGTGGATTATTGAGTCTGCTACCACTGTTGACAGTGGTGGTGGGGGTATTGTTTATAAATCAATCACTTCAATAACTCTATCATCTGCCTACTTAACATGTACTCATGAGCAAGGTGAACTGATGGCACAGATTGTACAGAACAATGCAGTACAGTGTAGTTGTGGCTGTCACCACCACAACCACCTATGCAATGCACCAGACCAGATTAACAAGCACTTTGTTATTATTCCTCTGATTCATATTTGCAGTTATTCCTCTCAAGAGTTTTAACTAATTTAACTCAAATTTTACTTTATCATAATTTATTTTTTAAACGTTGTTTCAAAGTCAGGCGTTGTTAAATAAATTATTAACACATTTTCAAAACATTATTTCAAGCTTGTTAGTAAGTTGAAATAATTAAAAACACATTCTAAACACATCATTTTTTTGAAATAAACAGATTTAACTTTGGCAATTAAAATAAAGCTATAAAACTGCTTGTTGGTGTGTGTTTGTTGTTGTGTTTTTGTGTGCGTGTAGTATGTATTAGGTACATGAGTACCTATTTATGTATGTATGTATGTATGTATGTATGTATGTTTATATGTATGTATCTTTGTGTGTATGTATCTTTGTATGCATGTATGCTTGTATGTATCTTTGTATATGTGTTTTATATTAGTGTAGATAATATTTTATAAATCTTTTTATTTAAAATCAGTTCTCTATGGTCAACACTCCAAGTAGTATCATTTAATTAGTAGCAAGCATGATACAGCCTTGATCACCAAATGATGACTGGCAGTTGATTAATGCAGAAAATATGAAGCCAGTTACAGAATGATTATTTGTGATTGTTGTGAAATATTTCTTATTGAGTAACCACTAACTGATAAATGATGTCAACAGACAATTGCACATGGATTGGATAAAATGGGTTATTTTTTATGAGCTGTGTTGGTGAATGATAGAATGATGTGAGGATCTGATCTGGAGATATGGCAGGAACCTAAGTTTCTTAAACTGATTGATATATTGCTGAATATTTTTCAAATACATGCATTGGAAGTGGTGTGTTTGTTATTTATTTATTTCTAGCATGATAGAACTCTTTCTAAATACCTGCTTGTCCTCTGTCATATCTTACAAATCAAATCAATTTGTTCACATTACTTAATGATTCACTTGTAAAGATAACTCATCATTATTCTCCATTTTTCAATGATTTCTCTTTTTGAAGTTTTATTTCACTTGTGGTTTTTTGCATTTTTTTTTTCATGGAGATTTTTAAAAGAAGTTTAAAATCACAATGTTGTTCTACACTGAAAGGAAATTAATTTTAGGGTCAGAAATTTTTTTTTCTTAAAATCACCATAGTCTGCGTTTCAGAGGTTTCATTAATATTTTCAAAAAACAGTCTGACAGTAAAATGCAGTTCAGTCTTTTGTTCATTCAGTAGCAACCAAATCATGCTCATCATTTCATTTCCTAATTTTAAATTGCAATTCATTTTTCTTTTTTTAAATTTTCAATTAATCGTTTTCAAGTTTTTCATTTGCAACAAAAGATGTGAATGTTTTAAAGTTCACAAAAATTCTTGTAAATTTGTAAACGTTACAGGCAGAGCCAGTTCAACAACAAATATATTTCTCAAAACATTCTTTTATTTTTTTTTTTATAAATTTTCAATTTATTCAACAGTTGTTTTATTCAGAAATAATATATTATATATAAATTGTTTTTTCATTTCGTTCTGTTAACAAGTCACTTAATTGAGCCATAGATTAAAAGCATGAACATTCAAGTGTTTACAATGTAGTTCAATGTGGATAGCAGAGTTTTCCTCTTTTTTTCTCTATTTTCTTTATGTTTTTTGATCAAACACATTGTAACAAATTGCAGTTAATGATCAGCTAATTTGCAACAGGGTTGTACATATTCACACTGATTAATATTTATTTTTGAAATTTAAAATAAGTGCGTTGAATGGTCAATAACATGAAAACATTTCTACGACTACAATCTTCAATGACTCACAAAAATTTTATTTATTGTACATACATGCTGAAGTTGTGTGAGAAGTTAATTCAATTTTTCATCATTAATAACTGGAGTGAAATGTTTTCCCTGTATGTAGCTTTATCTTTTTGGCATCTAATTATGATTTGTTATGCATGCTGGAATTACTCTATATTAAATAGTCTTCACGGGCATGCACAAAACTTGTAAGAGGATTAATCAACCTGAAGTTTATATGAATCTTATTACAAAAAAAATTTAAGATGCAAATATGATTCTCATGATTCAAATTAATAACAAAACCAGTTGCTAAGACACATCATAGGTGGTTGGATAACAATGAGGAAAAGTATCAATGGATTAATAATAATGGCAAAATGATTGATAGAAACAGAACAGAATTATGTGTTATGACATAACTGTAATAACATCCATTCATCTATGGGGTATTGGAGAAGGAGAAGAAATCATTCAAGGTTACCTACCAACCAGTTTGAAAGAAATTGTAAAGAATTGATAGGTGATTAGTCATTGGAGAAGCATTGTGTGACTTTATAATGCAACAAATACTCATGCAATGAAATGAGCAAATATGCAATACATAATTACAACACAATGTGATTTAAACTCAATTAAAACAGGCAAGGCCAAATTTGAGATCTTCAAATTTATGACTTGGTGGTTAAGGAATATATTGAGAACATTATGCAATCATCATTCAATCTAAGGATAGCCAATCTCTAGGAAGACAAAACTTTGAAAAAAAATTCACTTGTGAATCTTTTTGAATTACAATCAAACATGTCAGCACAGTTAAGCGCCACAGACTGTCAACTATGTTGTAGCAATGTA